ACGAAAATTTTCCTCAGTTAAGTGTAAATAGTCTTGTTAAGTAAATTTCAGTAAAACTAGGTTAATAAGGTCATGGAATTGGGTATTGATCAATGTCGAGATCTAACTGGCCCGTTGATAAATTGAAGCAGGATTAACAGGGCTGAACTTTGGTGTTTCACCGCAGCTACACATCTTACTATATATAAAGCGAGACGATATATATATATATTTATTTATCCGTGCCATTTAAATAATAATTACCTATTTAATTTGCGTTTTTGACACCACTTGGGGGTCCAAATTTTGGCTCTAAAATTCCTATTCCTTGGCCAATTTTTTATTTTTTCATGCTGATTTGAAGGCCATTAAAGCATTTGACCTAGTCAAAAAAGTTTCAGTAGTATATCTTTTACGGTTTTTGCGGAAAGTCCCGTTAAAGTTGATACCGTGGTGTCAGTAAAATGGTACGGATAAATAATAAATATATATCGTCTCGCTTTATATATAGTAAGATATAATGTAGTATAACAATTGTCACATGGGACGAATTATTCTGTAGCCGCTGAAATGCAACAAAATATAAGTTTATAGTGTGGTTGATGCACGAATCTCCTTCATAAAGTTTTGAGGAAGCTCAACTTCTAGAAAGACCATGTACATTGAACATCAGCTCTTCTCTATAATTCCATCCGTATCATGATATTGGGTGCAAAATTGAAAAGTCATTGGAACAACTAAAAAGGAACCTTGCAAGGCGACAGAATATCTGTTAAAACCGGGGTATTAGAAATCTACTCATCTAGCACAAAAAATCGGTCATCAGGTGATCAGAACTATAGCATGTACGTCGTACATCAAATATCTTAAACAATAATCTCAGAATGTGTGTGTGTCTGATCGTCTGTGCGTGTGTAATTTCCGGTCGGTTATATAGTTAAAAAACGGTAAGAGTTACGAGACTGGTTTTTTTCGGTATAGTGTCGACAAAACTCGGCCGCGTTGGTATGTGGTTTAATTGATGGTTTTGTACCACAAATGTTACATAAAAAGATAAAATGGCTTGAGCAGATTAATCAAGAAAACGGTAAGAGTTACGGGGCTCGCTCTCTCTCTCTCTCTCTCTCTCATTACTGCATAATATTATGTAGCGTTGTTATATATTACACGGTCATGTAATACTATAAACTCATTAGGGGAGGGAGAGCTCAAACGATCTGTTTGGACTGTAGAGAGAGTTTATACTTTCATACGACAATGTAATGCATGTTCACAAATATGATGGGCGGGTGTGGTGTTAAGGGTTAATTTCTATTGATTATTGTTTAAGATACTATTGTTTAAGACACCATTGGATACGTGAGCGCACTCCGAATAGAATTGCTCACTTAATGCGGGTTTTGATTCAACGGGTAATTACTCCTACCCTTTTTAACTGCGGCAGTGAAATCCCGGCCGAAGGCCGGGTTACACTAGTAACTCTATAAATGTACAGCATACTCAACAAGTAGATAACCCTTCTTATAATACACGTACTCTCCAGTAATTTGAAGTCAACAACATGAACTTCAAACAGAAAACCACACCCACAATCCAATCAGCCATGACTAGAAACTGATCACCTTACAAAGCTAGCTAACAACCACAAAGACTAACGAACAATTACGCAAAACCTGCGTGTTCCCATCAAATGAGGTGCCAGCCAGACTGTTTCCATGGTAACATGACCAAACTATGAAAGTATAAACTGCTCGCTGTAAACGTTCAAATGCACCTTACTGGCAAGTCTGATCAGTGATCGTGAATCGTGATTGTGCTAGAATTAGAACTGATCATTGGTTACCCGTGTGTGCGGTAGAGAAATGATCAGTTGACGACACAAGTTGAGAAGTTAAAGGACGGTGAGCTAGCTTGGAGATGTGTATTGTGTATTCACGTGGTATTAACACCTCGTGACCGCGAAAACGGGGGTTATATAATATAATATATTGTATTATCATCATGTTCTACTACAACTCCTCTTGCGATGGGTGTCTTAGTTATGTTGTGTTCCTTTTGTTTAATAATGGCTGGATTAGGAGGAGGCGGGGAGTTGTTTATAACTGAGGGGCAGGCTGTCGTGAGGTGTGTGGGGCCGGAACTGGGGGTGAAATTGGGAACTTTGTGACGACATTACCCACAAATAGTATTAGTCCAGCCTAAATAGTGTGGTAAATAGTGGATGACGAGTGGTGATAATGAAGTTTTGTAGCAGGATAATATCTCTGATATTATGTAAAGTTGTGACGGAAGGGTTCAGACAGGGCGGGATCCAGGCATTGTTAGTAGTACCTGGGTTTAGTCTGACACAAGGATCTATCATAATAGTAGTATTACTCAATACTCATAATATCTGGAAGGCTAGTGGTGGAAAATGGATATAGAGCCCGGAACTTAAACTCACTAGAAATCACTGTGAAAATGTGCAAATTAATTAAAATCTCCCTTGTGAGTTGTGCAAATGTGGTGTGGAGATGCGTAAATTATTCGAAAGCGAAGATTAAAGGTTGCAATTACCGATAGATTATCTATAATTAATTGAACGGTATATTAAATTATCACGACGTATCATTAGTGATCTAGTAAACGTCTGTTCCTCTCCTCTTGTGAACTTTTAATGAGAGATCTTCAAGTGGTCTTTACTAAGTTATTACTTATTAGCCTCAATACAAGGACTGTGAAACTTGACGTATCATAAAAAATTGAGGTATCATGACTTAAAGGTATCATGACTTAAAGGTATCATGACTAAAACTTGCCTTATCATGCCTTATCAAGTTTTAGAATTAGAAAAGTCTCTGTTTTCGCCATCATACTTGATCTCATCAAACGCTAAAAATATTAAAATATTGATGGTGTAAACTGTAAAGCGTCCCGATCCTTGGGTTAGTAAAGACATTATCTGTTACGCAGTATTATCAAAACTTCTAAACAACTCTAATCCTCTAATCTGAAATGAAATTTATACAAAATGAAAGTTAAAATATCGTTCATCGACTCATCTGTGTCATTATTTATAGTTACTTAGCTGTTTAATACTTGACTATTTGTCTAATCAACGTCTAATAATTAAAGTCTAATTGAGCCGGAGGATTGATGTATTCATTAGCATATTAACTGTTTACTAAGTTACTACTAGACTGTACAAGGTATTGAAATTTGCACAAAAAGTTCCAATTGAGACGAAATCACAAGAAAATCTATGCGAACATTGTCTAAAATAAACTTTCTGAGCCCTCACTTCACAAGTCTTGTAGTACCGGATGTTGTATGGTTTTTCGGTGATTATAATAATAAAATCATTAAGTTAAATTAATACTTATAACATCTGCAGTGCCCACCAGACTAGACCTAATTAAATAACAAAAAGAGATCCTGGTTCAAGTGAATAAGATACTACAGATCTGACACAGAGTTGTGATTTGTGGAGGTCTCCCCCTCCCTCTCTCTAGCCAGCATCATGTTGACGAAAACAGTTGGACGTATGACCAACTGTGCATTATATACTATTACTAATATAACGCTCATTTGATGATGAATTTCACCACTTATCTCCCGATCTAAAGAAAGCAAAAAGTAATCAAATTTTCATCTGTATGTCGAACAACAGCGCGCTGATCCCCTGAGCTGAACGCTGATTAATTGCTTGCTCTCAAAGTAGGTAGCTAAGTTCAACAACAGAGGCTGCATTAAAATGCGTGATATGACCTGCATATTATATAACACGACCGGCGGCACTGTGGAAATGTTTACTAAATACTAATGCTTTTAACAGCACTGTTAACTATACAGTAATTTTTATCGTATTACCATAATTACGATTCGATGCTCACTCTTGTCAGATATGTCGAAATAAAAGAGCCAATTAGCCAATAAGGGCACTTCCGTTAAATAGCAGGTAAAACAATTCAGAAATAATTGGTCAAAGATTAACTGTGGCAAAGAATTTAGGGCCTATTGACAGCAAATAGTGGAATATAGCCGGAAGCCTGAATGAGGCTTGAATGACAGTTGGTATTTCCAATGACTGCATGTATTAGAACAAGATAATAGACAATTATTACTCATTTAGACTTCTTTAAAGTCTCAGTGATTGTATATTTCAACAAATAGCATTTAATAGATATTTAACGTGAATTGTGTGCATGAACCGGTTCACCCATGCTCGGCACACGGTCCATGCACACAACGTCCACGCACGGTCGTGTGCCGACCGTGCACGGTGCATCGGGCCATTACCAAGTTGCCAAATACTCAATTAAACAATTTATCGAAAGATCGAAGAGAGTAATTTGTATGCCAATGCCTAAAATTTCCATAGTTCTATACATTTGTTGTAGAGTTCTAGTATCTAATATTTTAGTTACAAACTAGTACCTCGGTATTAAAGTGGACGTTCGCGTTATGTCGACAAACAATAAATATTGTACATACCTGCTCAGTATGCACTTCAAATGTCGACCGAATGTTTATTCTCACTCGTAAATCAATAAACTTGAGCCGATCAAATCTGAACGACTGCCTAAAATTTGTAACAGCGCTATTGTCAAGGCGAGACAAAAACAAGACTTAATCTAAATAAACAATTTCCTGACAAGTAGCGTTGTTTAAAAAACGAGAGCGTTTAAATAACAGATTCGAGCAGAAATGACTAAAACAGAGGAAAGAACAGGGGAGAGAAATGAATATATAATTACATCATACCTGTCAGGTCACACATGCCATCCCTTTAGAACTGTCGGCATCGACTGCTTTAAAAGTTATGAGGGCTGTTCTAAGTTGGGACATGATGTGATCACTTGATATTCACATATTTAATGTTAGTTTTCACTGGTAACTGTAAACTGGGAAAAATGGAAATTAGGCTAATGTGAACTTAAATGATATGTACGAGTGCTTGGTGTACGTTTATAAAAACTTTAATTACACCGACATTCTTTAAGCAAACTTCCTTATTATATAATTAATGATAACCCTTTCAGAAGAACCAAAGCTCGTTCCAATTAGACATCAAGAGTTTGATATCAGACGAGATATTCCATGACGAAGAGCTACAACAGGTCAGCAAAATTAATACTTGATAATATTTACTCACTGTATAACTATTGTGAACTTTGCAAGCATTAAATATATTATAAGAATTAAATATTATTGGATACGTCTTGTAAAGTTTGTAATTTCTGAGTTTAATATCAGTTTTTAAGATTTTAAATTTTTAAGATCAAAATTCCCTCGAAATTGAATTTTTAGTTGTTTCTGATAGAAGGGAGTGATATCTATCAGATGCTTTTGGTCCCATGGAAAAATATTATTCCTAGCCAAAATTATTATCGGTCAAAGGTCAGCACTTAAGTGTAGTTGTATTGCGCAAGCGATTTTCAATCACGTGTCCTGAAAATCGAGTCTAAAATCTTCTCCTACATTTTTTGAGCAATCACCTTGAAAAGTTGAAACTTTCAGGATATGTTCTAAGGACCATTTAGAAGATTCCATTCGATCAGAATTTTAAGATAGGCCTTTAGTTAGGGCAAGAGTTGATTTTTCTGTGAACAAATTCGTAACAAAGGTTTGTCTACTGGAATGTGTTGTCCATAGTCCCAGGAACCACAAAAAAAAACCGTCCAGCTGAAACTTTTGGGCAAAAATTTGTATAGTCATTTTTCTCCAGGAACCCATACGCCCCACCCCTAATATTGGTTATTCGGCTCCCGAAGGTCTTGAGATCTCCATAGGGGGTGCAAAATGACCGCAATGGCCACATTATGGCAGGCGAATGATAGTTTCAGAACAATTGGAGCTTTATTTTTCGAAATAAATGGAATTTTCGAAATTTTTCTCAATTTTATTGAAATTTCGAAAAAAAATACACCAAATTATTTTTAACGCTTATTTCAAATCTTACTCGGGAAATAACTTCAATTTACAAATATCAAGGTTAACTAACAAACAACAGATTATTGACCAACCCCCAGACAGCTCTTCGACGGTACATACTACTCTGGTTGAATGTCTTAAGTTATCCTACAGTGAGCCGATGATAATCACATTCGATTTTCCATTGTGGATTAAGGCCACCCGAATAGTACTGGAAACTGGGATGCCTATTGTGGTCAGGGTTGGGGGCTTCCACACTCTCACGAGTTTTCTTGGCTGCATAGGCTATATAATGGCAGACTCGGGTTTAGAGGAGCTCATCAAACTCGTGTATCCTGGAGACGTCACGCATATATCGGATGGAGGATCTTACTATAAAGCGTTGAGAGCCCACTTTCTGATCGACGCCGCTCTTTGTTGTTTCATTATAGAGGAAGAAGTTTACGACGATGAACTAGTAGACTTGGAAGGTTACATCAACAAATGTGTGAACGAAAATCTAGGTGTTAACTTTAAGACTAAATCTATTCAGGATCTATCAGAGAAAATAACTCTGCTTCTAAAGAACCTGTTTTCCAACAGTAGAACAGCAGCTCTATGGGTTACTTACCACAACATGATAACACTAGTAAAGGACTTCATAAGAGCAGAGAGGTTGCACGACTACAATATGCATTTATCAGCAGTAGCTTTGAAGCTGCCCTACTTCGCAGCAGCTGGGAGGGGACAGTATGCAAAAGCTTTAAGACTCATGTATTTGGAGCAGGATGTTATTTTTAAAGTCAAGTATGGGGCGTTTTTAAAGACCTTTAAAGTAACTGGGCTTCACACGGTTTGTTACAACGACCACGAGTGGGCCGGGGTGTGGACTGACCTCTCCATAGAGGGCAGCTAAATCTAGTGGTGGATTAACAAGTGGAAGGATGAGTAATCGTGAGTCCGCTCACAAGTTATGGGTGGCCACCCTGAATCAGATGGCTTTAATAAATCAGTCTTTTGGAGATTCATTAGCTAATTCATCGAAGCGAGGAGTACCAACTAAAGCTGCCATCCACTCAGATCTTACCAAGTCATCAATCAAGAAAAACTGTGATGTATTTGGAAAATTATTAACTTGGTTTAAAGTTACTGTCGACTTTACAGAGTCCGAAGATAAGACTAAGTTAATATCTTTTTCGACTGGTCTTATATCACAGCCTGGGAACGATGAGGTGAATCCCGAGGAATGTTTGGCCGTTGGGGCTGTCCTTCAACATGAGCTAGATGGGTTGACATTCATCGATAAGATAAGTATCAAAGGTAAAGCAAAGAACTTGACACAACTAAGAAAGCAGGTTAAAGTGAATAATAAAAGCGTTGCAGTCGATCCGTTGAAGTGTTTTAACCGTCTAGTCTTGGTTGCTGATAGAGAGACTTCAATAGAGGAATGCCTAACATACGAGTTAACTGTGATGCCGATGAGCTTATTTGATCAATATCAGATGATGAGGAAATCTAATAAGGCTGCTCTTGGTATTTATAAACCAATCTACACTTAAATCTTGCAGCTTCACGATCCCACTAGTCATTGATGGAGGTTGGCTAATTCACCAACTAAGCTCATTTAAAGGGTGTGACAATTATGGTGAGGTAGCAATGGAGTTCTTGAAGCTTATCCCTAAAAATCGGGATGTTACTGTGATTTTTGATGGATATGAGCCTTCTACTAAAGATCACGAGCACAAGAGGAGAGTAAAAGCGTTCTGTGCTAATATTGCTGTAAAGAAATCCACCTTTTGTACTGTCACCAAAACAACATTTCTGAGCAACAACAATAACAAAAAAGAACTGATCGACCTTATCTCAAGCATTTTTACTGTAAATGGTATTGAAGTGATCAGAGCTTGTAACGATGCTGATACTTTAATTGCAAAGAAAAGATTGGTAATGTCATTCCTTGGTGATGTTGAATTGAAGGCAGAGGATACCGATATAGTTCAAGTCTATTAGTACATCATTTCAACAGTGACCATCACAATGATATTTATCTAACAACGAAGAAGGGTACATATTCAATCAAAGAAATATCAAGTCATCTAGATCATAAAGAAAAGGAGATACTTCTTCTAATTCATAGTATTTCAGGTTGTGATAGCGTCAGTGGAGTGCAATGTTTGGTTTTAGCAAGGTTAAAGTGCTAAAGAAAGCTCTCGCCTTTGATGAGCAAGGTCAGTTGGCAACATTACTTTCGGTGAGAGAATCAAAAGAAAAGATTATTGAGGCAGGCCTCTGTTTCTTGCAGTACATTTATGGTGACAAAAAAAGACTCTTTCTGCTTTGAGATTCCTAGCATACAATAGGATGGTAGCGAAAAAGAGTCTCAATCCGAATAGGCTACCTCCAATAATAGCTTCAGCAACGGAGCACATCCTTAGAGCTTACTTACAGTACCATAACTGGGTCATGCTTAACGCTGACAGTCTGAATCCCCTTGACTACGGCTGGAAATTGGCTTCTGGTGGCACTTACGAACCAGTTGCAACAAAAGCTATAATTGCTCCAGAGTCTATTTTGAACCTTATATGTTGTAACTGTTCTGTCGATGTGGAACAGGCCTGTTTGACTTTCAGATGTTCATGTAGGAAATATGGCTTCAATTGTTTGCCAGCTTGTGGACGATGCCATGGTATGAACTGCACAAACATTAGACATGATGAACCTGAAGAACAAGCGAATTTTGATTAATATTAACTGTGTATTAATATTTGTCATGGTATTTACTGAGAATACACATTTTAGATTAACTGTATTTGTTATTTGTAGATGAGTTTTTAAATAGATTTGAAATAAGCGTTAAAAATAATTTGGTGTATTTTTTTTCAAAATTTCAATAAAATTGAGAAAAATTTCGAAAAATTCCATTTATTTCGAAAAATAAAGCTCCAATCGTTCTGAAACTATCATTCGCCTGCCATAATGTGGCCATTGCGGTCATTTTGCACCCCCTATGGAGATCTCAAGACCTTCGGGAGCCGAATAACCAATATTAGGGGTGGGGCGTATGGGTTTCTGGAGAAAAATGACTATAAAAATTTTTGCCCAAAAGTTTCAGCTGGACGGTTTTTTTTGGTGGTTCCAGGGACTATGGACAACACATTCCTGTAGACAAACCTTTGTTACGAATTTGTTCACAGATTGACCCATAAACAGCAATTCTTGCCCTAACTACTTAGAAAATTTTTTATTCGATTTTGAAAATCTTGGACCTCGTTTTTTGACGATTTTTCCAGGTCCAAGATTTTCAAAATCGAATTAAAAATTTTCTAAGGCCTATCTTAAAATTCTGATCGAATGGAATCTTCTAAATGGTCCTTAGAACATATCCTGAAAGTTTCAAGGTGATTGCTCAAAAAATGTAGGAGAAGATAGAATTTTAGACTCGATTTTCAGGGCGCACGATTGAAAATCGCTCGCGCCATACAATTACACATGAACGCTGACCTTTGACCGGCAATAAATTCGGCTAGGAACAATATTTTTCCATGGGACCTAAAAGCAGCAGATAGATATCACTCCCCTCTATGAGAAACAACTATAAAATCAATTTCGAGAGAAATTTCATAAAGACCCCCCCCCCCCCCCCCCCCCCTGCCCCCTTAGCAACTTATCTTGCCACGAGTATCGCCAGTGCTGAAAAGCAACACGATGGGAGTCTGTAGAGTAAGAAATGAAAAAACTACTTTAACAATCTTATTTTATCTGAAGGCCCTCGACCGTTTCATTAGTGATAAAGTAATAACGCTCTCGCATATTATGATGATATCAACCATTCGATACCTCGATGGTCTTCTAATCCGATTGCTTTCAAATACCCTGAAAAATATGTACTTAAAGCTAGAAAAGGAAATGCTCCATTTCGTACATATTGAAGCGAATACGTTTAAAAAGGCGCAAGAAACGCTTTTAACTTGCCAATGACTGGTTTAATCCTGAATCCGAAACTGAGCTTTTATTTGTGATTATTACCATGAAGTCATACCACTGACCGGAGACAAAGGCAGTATCCAAGAAGCCTTGCCCCGATTAAGGAGAAGGAGCAAAGTTAAAATTTTCTCTGGCGTCAGAAGCGGTCATATTCATAGGGTCGTATGCGGAGCTGAATATACGGTATATATAGGTCAACATGAACATTGAACATGTCAATTAATGTTAGTCGAAACTAACTGCATCCAAACTACACGATATCTGCTTACCATCACGTCATAAGTAGTCCGCGGACTGGGTTGGCTTTCTTGGATACTGTCGAGACAAAATTATAATTCTTAGTGGGTAAAGTCAGTCGGAAATTGGTTAATTTTATATTAAGATTTCAGCTCTGGAACTTATAGCATGAAAAGTCAAATGTTTTCCCTCTAATCGGCTAGTGTAATACCTGCAACTGACAATAGCACTAAACCGTCTATGATATAAAAAGCGATTCTCCAGAAGAAATAAATTTCTTGAATTTCGTATAACTAATTTTACCAAAATACTTCTATTCATAAACCGCGAGTGAAAGGATAATTATTCTAATTAATATTTTATGTCGTCATAATTAAAAGCTGGCACAACCACCAGCTGTATCACGCAGAAAATACCTCGTACAACACAGGTACTGCTACGTCACAACATTTCACAGCTGAGTGAAATGTGACGAACAACAAAAAACAACAAAATTAGGATTCATTAGCACTCTTATATATTTCAGTATGAAATGAAATGAAATAATGTGCTTGTATACCGCCCAAATGATTAGCAACTTACACAATTGTACTAACCACGTCAGAGCGGTTCTAAAGGGTGAAAGATGCATTATAGACTTTAACTTAGTTATCCGTAACTTGAAAATTGAATGAACAATGAAATGGAGTTACATTTCGTAATGCTGTAATGCAGTCGATTTGTAAGTTTTGCTATCAGCGGATAAGTTTTTAGCTAAATATGTTCCTGATAGAGTGACAAGCTAATAGTGTAAATCTAAACAACAGCTGTTTCCACAATATTAGGTGTATATTGGATGAGTCCCGCCCTATTTGATCGTTCAACCAAACCTATGAAAACAGAGGTAACGCAATATCTTATCACTTCTTCTCCTATAGCCATATAAATCCAATAATAAAAAATAATAGTACAATCCACGTTAGGAACAGGTACGGATGTACTAATATCTGTCAAAAAACTAACCCATAAATAGGCCACTTAATCCACCAACCCACATGAAACCTGATCATTTGAACTGTGAGATTAGCCGTTTCAGATATCACAATTTCAAGTTGTTTCTGGTGATGTGATTCCATTTCTTTCAGTAAACGAGGCTCTGCAAGTTTGGCAACAATACGGTAATCAAGCGCATCCGATTCTTTCTTCATAGAGTTTTCGTTGACAATCGGCTATTGTTGGAATATATTTTCATCCTGGTAGTTCATATTGATTGGATTCTTTCGAGACTTCTTACCCTTCTTTGGCGTATGTGGTGCATTTTTCTTTATTACTATTAAGTATTAGGTGCTTCATTCTTTCGTTCACCTTCAGTCTCTCGGACAGGTAAGAAAATACTGCCTTGCTGCAAACTACAAACAACAACCTTTCTTCTTCGGTGAAAGACGTCTTCTTAGCATCATGCACTAGTTCATCCCTAACCTCAATTATTCTCTTAAGTATCATATGTTTCACTGACTGATTTAATGTGAATGCTTTAAGCAGAGTCCCCAACGAAGCGTCATCTTCTAATTTTCGGTTAAGAAAATGTCTTCACGTAAACAATATTCAAAATATTTTGTAACAGAGATTGTTTGTTCTGCATCATTGTTCATATTTTCAAAGATAGGCGGTTCTTCTATTCCCATCATTGCAAGACTGAGATCTTCAGATCTCGGGGGAGGCAACAATCTAAAAAGCGATGCAAGCAAAAGGTCTTTATATCAAGGAAAGAATTTCTCTAGTAGAAACAAACAATATACAGGGTGGGCCTCAAAAGTCTACCCATCCTTATCTCTTAAAATTGTAACAGCTCGCTGAGATCTCACTAATTATTTTATTTCAGAATGGAAAAGCGCCATAACTTACGTTCTGATTAATATTTTTGCTTCAAATTTTAAGAGATAAGGAAGGGTAGACTTTTGAGGCCCACCCTGTACCTAAAAAATGCGGGTTCAAGCCTATTTTGGTATTTAATAATAATATTGATCTAGATAATATTATGTTTTTCATACTGTCAGAAAATAAAAGTCTCGGATCCTATGTACATTAAGATTGTTACGGGATTTTACCTTTTAAAAGGATATTTTGATTTGAGCTGTGTTCACTGATGGCTTGAGTTTACCTCAGTAGCTGAGTAGCAGGAGAGGTGAAATTCTAAGACTAGATTTAGTCTACTACAGTAGTCTAGATATAGTTTAGATGCAGTCTAGTTTCGGCACGATCCTACACATATTATATCGTAAGGGGACGACACAGTAGAATGAGGACAATTTTCGTGAGATGTCCACGATAAGATTAAAAAGGAGATAACACCTGTACCTAGTGATAAGGTAAGACTGGAGGTGCCCCTTTAACAGTACGTGTTGTACTACGTGACTAACGTGACTAATGATACAGAATATCTGCATTAGTCACGTTGGTAGAGCATGATGGTAAGAGCAAGCAGCTCTGTTTTGCATGACATTGCAATCGCTCCCCGCATATTTGGCACTCATTAAACTTCATAATTTCGTCTCTTTCTCTAGATTTTGGTCTTGGTTATAAACTTACAACAAAGTAACGTTAAATTAAGAGTTGGGATTTATGCCGTGTAGCACATCTAGGATGCAGGAGGAGGTTACAAGTTTAGTAACGACTCCAGCGGGTCTACTGCGACAGTACCTTTTGCCTGCTTCTTCAATGATATAGGAGTATAATATCTAATTCATGGTTTTATTTTATGCAGGACTCCGACTAATTTGTCAAATCATTAAAATATTACTTCATCCGAGGGCTATGATAAATAAGCCCGACTCCGACCTGCGGCAGCAGTTTAGTAATTCAATAGATAATGACTTAGTACAGTAGATAATGATTTAGTAGATAAAAGATAATTGTTCTCTACGCCCAACAGCAAGGTAAGTTTATAAGTATACGTAGGTATATTAATATAGAATTAGTATATTATATAACCGTCTCTCTAAGACAGATCTGTCTGCAGAGCTTGTCTAAGAGAGTCTGTTAGACAGGCTCTAGATAAGCTGGTGAGCGGACGATGAACATGGGTTAGCGCACGTGTGTTACAATATGCTATACGCCTCTAGCCAGGGGGTCCAGCAGAGACGACTTATACAAATGTATCGAATTTTGAAGGTGCACATCGAGAATTTTGAAACTTTGGCTAAAACAGTAATATAGTGCTATGTTTCGTAAAATAAGGGGGGGGGGGGGGGGGGGGGGGCAACCATATTAAAGTATATCCCCGGGTAAAAATCGGAAAAAAACTTTGTATTTTGGCCCATAAATTGGTCAAGTATCAATATCTTTGAAAAGACTAACTTTACATGAAAGGTAAATTTGATCTATACATTAAAGGCCTTTAAAGAAATTAAGCGGCCAAATTTTGAATCGAGATAATATAGGTATATTAAAGTATATTAAAGTATATTAAATCCACCTACAATTAGTAGATTTATATTCTTCCTTATATGCCCATATTTGGGAATATGCACCAAATTTGATATACAAAAAATTTGTATTTTGGCCCATAAATTGGTCAAGTATCAATATCTTTGAACAAGACTAACTTTACATGAAAGGTAAATTTGATCTATACATTAAAGGCCTTTAAAGAAATTAAGCGGCCAAATTTTGAATCGAGATAATATAGGTATATTAAAGTATATTAAAGTATATTAAAAGTACATTAAAGTATATTAAAGTATATTAAAAAACCTACATTTTAATATACTTTCATATGGTTGCCCCTCTCCCCCCAAATTAGCAGTCAAAGTTTTCGCTTCCTATGCGTACTTGAGATTCTCGCAATGTTCACCGTGTAGAGGGCGGCTAATTTTTTGTGAATCAGACATTTACAGTTAACCTTATGAACGTCACTTTATTTTCTATTACAGGTGCACAACGTGTTACTACGTCACATCTCAGATCTGAGGAAGATTTACAATCACTACTGCAAACTTGCAGACCAGGAAAGCGGAATCCTCGCAAGAATGGAGGTTTGATCTTTATCTTATATTAATTACTGCTTTTCTTATTATATTATCAGTTTTCTTTATTATATAACAATATAACTTATTATATAACTTACCTCTCACTTAAGCTGCGTATTTTTATTAACTTTTGCGACTTTGTCACTCTTAAAAGCATCTGAATAGAAACATGTATTCCTTGAAAGAGCGAGATATTCTCTAATACAAAATTAATTCCTTAGGTTCTATAAAAGCTTAAAAATCTTGGAACAAAATACAAATATCGAGTCAAAAGCATAAAAGCATGAAAAAATCAAATTAGGCAAAATTAGTCGCTTGTCGAACAGCTCAGGAACATGTATTTTGATCACTCTGTAAAAGTTCACATACAAAAATAACGACTGAATGGAATTTCATGACTGAAAGAGGATCCAAGACGAAATTTCTTCAATTCTTTGGTGTTTAATTGGTCAATATTTTGTCGCTTCGGTATGTAATCAGAAGACAGCAAGCGGTATAAATTATGATTTGAATTGACTTCTTTTTTTTTGTAATAGAAAATTAATTAGGCGTGGGTATTGGATTGTCTTAAAATTAGGATCTTAAACGCCTAGGCATAAAACCCCGACGGACAATAAAACCCCGAAGGACAATCATTGCGCAAAGATAAAGATCAAATAGGAACTAATGAGTAATACTAATGACCAATCGGTATCTCTTCTAAGATAATATTTATTAAAAATAATACATTGTTAGAGAAATTGCTAGATCTAGCATAGAAGTCATAGAGATCATTCTGTAGAAGTTCATATTATATACAATATCTGTATCGACTGAATACTTACTTGTACTTTATCGACTGAATGAAATATTTAATATAATTTCATTAGTGGAAGTAGAAAAAAGAGAACTTGGGAGTCGGAACTGGAAGTTCTACAATTCTGCGGATCTAAGGGCCCATGCTTGTGCAGGAGCTGCATTTGCACTCAATATCTGTGTTTTGGTGACCCGAAGTTAACCATAACCCTTACCACAAGCCTAACCCTAACCCGGGCCCTAAACAATCGAATTCGTATTTTACTAGCCTGTCAAGTGACCAAAACGGTTTTTTGCCCATAACTCTCCAGGGAAGCATTTTAACCCTACGTCATGGGGGGTGATTCGGAATCAGCGTCCAAAAATACACCGATATATAACAGTATCACTTTCATGCCCCAAAGGGCCTTTTCACAAGAATTTCCTTAAAATTTGGGCGAGCGATTTAGTAGAAGCGGTAGAAAAGCGATCATAAGCGCCTATAAGCGCTTTTAAATCCTGATTCTGCCGGTGACCCCAGGTTGCACAGAAAAGCACTTATAACTATAAGCAGGCACACTGATTTCCAGTTCTGACCAGGTTAAGGGGAATTGAGAAATCGCTTATAAGCGCAGCATTAAAAAAGCGCTTTTTAATTCCGGGCACTCCCCCGTTCCGACCAGGTTAGTGGTAGCATTGAAAAAGCGCTTATAAGCGCTTTTTAATTCCGGGCACTCCCCCGTTCCGAACAGGTTAGTGGCAGCATTGAAAAAGCGCTTATAAGCGCTTTCTAATTCTTGCCAACCAGGCCATGGGTGATAGGAAAAGCGGTAGAAAAGCGATCATAAGCGCTTTTAAATCCTGACTCTGCCGTGTACCCCAGGTTGCTCAGAAAAGCACTTATAAGCGGGCACTTTGATTTCCAGTTCCGACCAGGTTAGGGGCAGCATTTAAAAAGCGCTTATGAGCGCTTTTTAATTCCGGGCACTCCCCCGTTCCGACCAGGTTAGTGGCAGCATTGAAAAAGCGCTTATAAGCGCTTTCTAATTCTTGCCAACCAGGCCATGGGTGATAGGAAAAGCGGTAGAAAAGCGATCATAAGCGCTTTTAAATCCTGATTCTGCCGGTGACCCCAGGTTGCACAGAAAAGCACTTATAACTATAAGCGGGCACACTGATTTCCAGTTCTGACCAGGTTAAGGGGAATTGAGAAATCGCTTATAAGCGCAGCATTAAAAAGCGCTAATGAGCGCTTTTTAATTCCGGGCACTCCCCCGTTCCGACCAGGTTAGTGGCAGCATTGAAAAAGCGCTTATAAGCGCTTTCTAATTCTTGCCAACCAGGCCATGGGTGATAGGAAAAGCGGTAGAAAAGCGATCATAAGCGCTTTTAAATCCTGACTCTGCCGTGTACCCCAGGTTGCTCAGAAAAGCACTTATAAGCGGGCACTCTGATTTCCAGTTCCGACCAGGTTAGGGGCAGCATTTAAAAAGCGCTTATGAGCGCTTTTTAATTCCGGGCACTCCCCCGTTCCGACCAGGTTAGTGGTAGCATTGAAAAAGCGCTTATAAGCGCTTTTTAATTCCGGGCACACCCCTGTTCCGAACAGGTTAGGGGCAGCATTGAAAAAACGCTTATAAGCGCTTTATAATTCTTGCCAACCAGGCTAGAAAAAGCGGTAGAAAAGCGATCATAAGCGCCTATAAGCGCTTTTAAATCCTGACTCTGCCGGTGCACCCCAGGTTGCTCAGAAAAGCACATGCAAGTGGGCACTCTCCAGTTCCGACCAGGTTAAGGGGAATTGAGAAATCGCTTATAAGCGCTTTTAAATTCCGGGCACCACCCCGTTCCGACCAGGTTAGGGGCGGCATTGAAAAAGCGCTTATAAGCTCTTTTAAATTCCGGGCACACCCCCGTTCCGACCAGCTAAGGGGCAGCATTGAAAAACGCTTATAAGCGCTTTATAATTCTTGCCAACCCATGCCATGGGTGATAGTAAAAGTGGTAGAAAAGCGATCATAAGCGCCTATAAGCGCTTTTAAATCCTGACTCTGCCGGTGCACCCCAGGTTGCTCAGAAAAGCACATGAAAGTTCCAACCAGGTTAAGGGGAATTGAGAAATCGCTTATAAGCGCTTTTAAATTCCGGGCACTACCCCGTTCCGACCAGGCTAGGGGCAGCATCGAAAAAGCGCTTATAAGCGCTTTTTAATTCCTGCTCGCCTGGCCATGGATGATAGGAAAAGCGGTAAAAGCGGTGAAATAGCGATGAATTAGCCGTAATAAGCGATTTCTAAAAAAACGCTTATAATCGATTATAAGCGGTTATAAGATGTAATATAGCGTTTTCCTGACTCAATTTTAAAAGCGCTTATAAGCGCTTTATTTGCGCTTTACAAACAGCTAAATTGCACCCTAATTATAAGCGCTTATAATCGCTTATAAATGGTTCAAAAAAGCGCCCACGAATCGCTTATCCGGCCAACCGCTTATCCACCCGTTCTTGGCGCCAATCCTACTGGAAAACCGCTTTCAAATCGCTCAGCAACGCTAGTAAGCGCTTAAAAGCGCTTATAAGCGCTTTTAAATTCAAAAAAGCGCTTTTTTGAATTATGACACCAATTATAGTCGATTATAAGCGATTTTTTTTTAACCGTTTATAATCGTAAAAAAAGCGATTGTAAACGGTTTTTTTTTTAAAAAGCGCCGAAAAAGCGCTCAATAAGCGATTATCGTCGCCGATCATAAAATATCGTTTATGGAAACTTGCCGACAATCCATGCTTAGAGGACAATATTATATTTAACTAATTCATTGTGTATATTTAACTAATTCATTGTGTAAACTTGTATATATATATATGTAAACTTTGTATGTAATTGACTGATTTGAAAGATTTCAATAAAAAATAAAAAAAATTGGTCAATATGTTGAGTTTAATCAGAGGAGAGCATTCAGTGTTACTATTAGAATATGAAATTAAATTGGCACTTTCGTTGAAGTAAAATTGATTAACCAATAACCATGGTTAATGGTTATTTATAATAAACTAAGGACAATAATACATAAAGGATAAAATTCAAATGACAGGTCTATCATAGACCTGTCATTTGAATTTTATCCTTAATACGTCTTCTCAGAAAACTTTTGAAAATATATTAAACAAAGATATTTTAATAATTAATGAAATTATTTATTAAATAAAAATCCCACGACCTACTGTACGATAACTTAACCATGTTAAAATTAACATCTGACAACCTTTTCAGTTCTGGAAGTTTGTCAAAGACACGAAGATTTATCTCAAGCTTTCCATGCCGCTTGCTGACTCCGTTATATGTAAGTTCTTTAAAAAGTTAATAGTCAAACGAGTCAAGTACGTGACTGACGGTTTGACAGGTTTCTAAATACAAAACAAAGAGTTTAAATCCTATTCTATCAACTTATCAAGAGGTGCGGTAGTGATATAGGAAGATTGCTGACGAACACTAAGACTTAAAATCCGCAGACTTACGCTTAATTAAACACTAGATCTCCGGGCTTTATTTCAACTAATTTGATTATCTTTAATAACATGAAACATGGGCGACAGGAAATTTGGCTCAGGAAATTTGACTCTTTTATAACCGTACGAACAAAACAGCGCTTAGAAATAAACCTCATCTATTATAAGTTAAGAGGCAAGGAGGCGTGTGACTTTCTGATATATATATATCAAACCAGATCATTAGACACAGTGATGTTTCTGGAAAATTCCGACTGGCGTTTATCGTTAAAAGGTTAAACACTTCAATATGCCAGCTATGATTGCTATAAAATGGCCTGCCAAAGATGTCAAATATCAGATACCATTTAATAGAGTCATTGGTTTTTAAATGAAACGCGCATGACATTTATCTTTGTTGTTCTGATAATGGTTGAAAGTAATCAAAAAATTGCTCACAGCAGCCCATTTGAAACTTCCATTAATCCGATCATTATCTTAAATGGTCATATATAAGATAAAATAACGTTTGAACAAGACTTGAATCAAGAAAATCTGTCTAAACGTTCAGTGCCTGTTCAATAATTTCATTCTGTTTTACCGAGAATAACTTTGCCATAAACACAACACTTTTTCAGCTGACTCGCTGGAATTGGAATGTGAAACAGAAAGAGAATCTCCCTTCACGAAGTTCTTGTTCAGAGAGTTCCTACAGGCTGTAGTGTTCTTGGCTGTCTACATCTACCAGGATCAGGTCACGCGGTATGCCGTTTGTGTCGCGTTTCTTTTGATCACGTGACAGAGAAGTTGTTTGTATATGATCACAATTAATCATAGTTGCCATTCAATCGAGACACAACAAAGCTTTATCATAACCTTAATTATCACTCCTATCTACAATATTACAGCACATCGTGACCCAGGATTGTACAGGGACTATTATTATTATCATTACATTGGGACTAACAAGAATTTTATAACCTCATGAGATGAAATAACTTCATATTTTGCAAATATTAATGTCATTGCGGCATAAGCGGCAAACCTTATCTGCAGATCTGTTATAAATCATCAACTCTCTTGAAATTTTTGTATACTAATAATAATTTAAAATGACTAAATCAGTAAATTGAATGTTGCAACTGGCAATGAGCGTTAATTCCAATAGAAGGGTATCACATGCTTCATCATCTCATGACGTAACGCTTTATACGTTGGAACTAGACAAGAACAATACAATTTATACAAATCACCTAATTTCGGAACCTGTTACCTTCAATTTAACACTAGCTGCAAACTTGAAGATAGTTCGTTGAACTCTCCTCATTAATTTGTCTGGCAAAGGACACAAAAGACAGTAAAATAACCGTTATATATTAACTAAAGTCTGGAATGCACCATAGCCTTCTTAACACAAGAGAGTCTGAGCCATGGTAGCAGCTACTCAACAACTAGTCTCTAAATTAAAACAGCCGGCTAACTCACTAAAGTAGTCGTCTGAAACTCTGAGAGACTCTGATCACCCAACCTTTTGTATGGCTAAAGCCTAAAAATATGACGTATTTAGGACGTAATCTATCCTCTTCTCCTTTGAGTGGAACTCTTCTTTTCCATAGGACTACATTGGGATTTGGGCCGATTATGGACGGACCTAATTATGAGCTGATATTGGCTAATTGGTTAATTGGTTAAATAAGGTCCGCTCATGAGTTCCATTCGGTAACTTTTTAATAATTTCGAGTCCGAATCTTAGTCGAGATGTTTAAGTATGCTTTTGTTAATGATAAGTAAATATTTATGTTATCGTTTTGAAGCCTAAATAGATTCGAAATCTCCCAAATCTTACGATGTAGCCAAAGCCACTTAAACTATAAAGCAATGATTGTGACAAGAGCTAAGTATTATCAAGTCAAATGTTATTAAATTAAAGCTCAATCAAACAAACAAACGAAGAGTTAAACGAAGTACGAAACACTATAATACAGATTGAACAACACGTATCCCAGTGCTTCTAGAGTTAACAACAGGATTCTGAAATTTGCTTAGTTAACAACAAAAGATTGTATACACTCATATTGAAAATAGACTCATTCAATATTAAGTTGTATTATGTATTTGTTAGACTGCTTCTCCTTTGTTTCTGACTAGCCGGCTATGAGTTAATAAATAAATATCATTAAAACATATTATACAAGAGATGATACAATAATATATAATATAAGTAACAAGCTCGACTTGGTGGTTGGTACTACATTTTAACTTGTAACTAACATGAGGATTGAAAACAATGAGCAGTCCAAATTGTAAGCCAATTCAATAAACGACCGTTTTTATTAGCAGAAGATGGCGACTTCCTCAAATTTTACCGCTGAAGGACCGTCCAGGCGTCCCTGAAACAGCTAATAAGGTTAAACTTTTACGTATTCAAGTCTGTAGTAATTGGTTTCATCAGACAATCGTTTCAGAGAGAACGGTAGTTTCGTGTCAAAGTGTTTGTCTGGCTTGCTTCATGATCACGTGTTACCTCTCGATCTGGACGCCAATACAGGTAACTTACCACGTTATTCCATACATATTACATATAATATTAATGCGGAGAACCAATAGCATAATTTCCATTTTCCAGTTCAACCTGAAACTCCTGATCATTTTAACTCTGTGTTAATCGGGAATTTTCCAGAAATATCTTAAGGATCGAACTCTACAGTCTACATACGTTAACCCTGCCATTTCTAGCTGATACAAAATGTTGTGGCTCAGTTGTTAACCATTATGGTGTAACTAATTAATAGCATGTCTCAATACATGTCCTGCCTCAATGTAACACTCCTGTAAAACACTCTGTTACAGCTCACTTTTCTTGTCATGACTTTTATGTTTGTTTATTTTCTGTTGAGTTCCACTGTCTTGCAACTTGTTTCATCTCAAGAAGAAGACTCAACTGTAGAAGGACCAACTGTACCTCAAAATGAGGCCAACCTTCTTCTTTATGAACCCTATAGTTGTTCTTCTGAACTTGTTGGAAAAAGCCGTTTAGTCGCCCATACAAAGCCTACAGAATACGATGAGGCAGATAAAACAGCACTAAAAGGAAGAGTTGAGGTATGTCTCCCTGCGCCTCCTAGCTACAATATAAGGCTGAACTTGTGGGGAACTGTCTGCTCTGAACCAGATATGGATACCGCCAGCGCCATGTGCGCGAGTCTGCACTACAACCAGTTTGGGAGGATTAAGAAGATTTTAGAAAAGGAGATCAGTAGTAGGGAGTATCGTAATGCAGATGAGACTCAACCACTATTCATGAACAACGTAGTTTGTGACGATGGCAGTTATTCTGACCTGACAAGATGTACTTACGATTTGGAGAATTTAGGGGAAAATGCGTGCAAGCGAAAAGATAACGTTTACCTGGAATGCGATGAACGAATAGAATGCAATGTCTGTGACACAGAGTCCTGTTCTTTTATGAGCTTAATTGAAAAGAAACAACGCTGCACCAAGGATGAGATCTACTGTGTCAGACAGCAGACTGTTTACAATGATGGGACGTTACCTGATATCGTGAATATGGGCTGCTCTGAGAAGGATTGTGGGACTTGGTTGGAAACTTGCCGTCAGAACGTGGACAATGTATCATGTTTTTGCAATGATTGTATTGTTGGTAATTGTAATCTTTTATTCCTTGATATTTTTAATGTAGTTCTGCAGACGATTGGCCGGCCTTTTGTGGATTTTATGGCACAGTTGATGAAGTCATTGAATTTTGGAATCAGACTTTTGTTGTTGGATTTTTCAGCGTTGATGACTTTGTTTTAGCTATTTTAGGACTATATTTTCTCTCTTTCAAATTAAGATATTTATTTGGGTTAGTTAACCGGTATTAGATGTAAGCAAACCATAAAATTAATAGTTTTCTTGGAACTCTAAAAATTGAAACAAAATTATATGCATAGGCCATAGTTTTATTTTGCTTCGAAAGTACTAGACCTTTAAATAGTCAACAACAGAAAATCATATTGATCGAAGCATCAAGCATGTCAAATCAGTGCCTTCCTATTTCATTTGAGCATTTTTTGTTGAATTTCTGACAGAAGGATATTTAACCAGGTTACTCCCACTCTCATCCAACAAACAAGCAGTACATAGAACGATGCTGGAAGATCTATCTCATCCTGAGTAAACGGTCGTCTCACCAGTTTACCATACGGGATACACTTTTCGTACTCAAGGTCAGTGGAGTTGCTTCTTGGTTAGATTGCAATAATTCGGCCGGTGTACCCAAATAAAGTTATAGTTGGAACGCGCAAGTAGTCTTTCATGATGTAAGTTTTCAAACGCTCTTGCTGTGTGTTTTTCATTTTCTCAATTTGCGCGCGTCATAGTTTCACAATTTTTCATTTCTATCAATCGAATCTTGTTACGTTGCCATGCACAAACTTTTAGAAACACTCAACTTCAGTCCTTTCGGTTAAAATGCGAATGAGCAAATAAACTAAGGACTCAAGCCAGGAGATTTGAGATCGCGGTATTGCACCCAGTCTGTTTCAGCCGAAATGCAGGAAGCTTTCGAAGCCTCGTCTATAACGTGAATAAGAAACAAAATTAGAAGACAATGATGTTTATAATGATAATGTGATTTTTAAAATACATGGGGAAGGAGGCGCCTTTATTTATTTCTAATTTTATCTTAATGGTAACCTTTTCTTTTTTTCCATATTAATTTTAGAAACAATTGAGATACTGGAAGTTAGATTCATGGAGAAATCATCACAAAATAGGGACATTATATGATCGTCATATTTTTTGTCTCATTTGGGCTTTGGCATTTTGAACGATGGAAGATGACATTTCCTGGACCGAAATTTCGCAGTTTTTACCTAATTTTTCTCTAGTGACCAATGAGTCAGTTAACTATGGATTGCATAAGATACAATCGGGGTACTGGAAGTCAATTCTCTCCACTATCAGTCAACAATAATCTCAATAATTTAGACTGAATGGTACTCTATTATGGGACAAAATATGTCGAACAAAATAGAACTAATAGAGAGAAGATATCTGATTCCCTTATTTCAATAGTGGAATAGTTTTAAAATTAAATACTAGTCACCAACTCAGTATGTGACATTTTGCCTAATCAACAAGCCTTGATTTGGCACCCGTCACAATACTCAATACTGAACTTTATCTATAATATTGACCACCGGAGATCCTTAACAATGCCCTAGAAAATCAAATAAAACCCACCAAGTCTCAAAAATCGGCTATCTTTGGAATTTTAATCAGTGAACTATTACCTTCTCTGTATTCAAATTAAATCTGCGTCTCCCTTTGTCAGCGAAAATTAGGGAAATTGTTTTCATGTGACTCCCTTTATTCCAGAATAACGAAATAGTTATTTTGTCTCACACTGGTCAGTAGATTGACCATAGAGCTTCCAATTCAACAATGATCCATAGATTATAATTATGATCTTTATTATATGAAGTCAGACATGGCGGAGTTTAGGTAGCATATCAGAGCAATTTGAAAAACGTATAATTTATAGTAGCTGCGCAGTACCAACGCGGTGAAGTTTATCTTAAATCGGTAAAATCATAAACTCCATTTCTTCTCATCAGTATTAATCCAATTAAATTTTGCCCTACTAAAATCTAAGGTATGAAGTAAGAAGCATAGTAGAGCTCAAGATTAAAGTATTCCATTTGAAGTTTCTTTATGCCTCCTTCCCCTATATATTGTTTAGACTGAAAATGTTATCCCTCATTGGATAAAATACTAAGATTAAACAAGAATACTAACATGTTCAAAGTCAACCTTAACCCACGACAGTGTCAGGGAAGTGAACAAATTTCTTCCGAACTCTAAATATATAGCCAATTGATAATGTGACGCTGTGCCGTAAACAGCGTGGCTTTATTGATTAATACCAGCAGAATATTGAAGCCTAATGAATTCTCCTCTTATTTGTGGTTGTCAAATGAGCGCGTAAACGATTTTGTAGAGACACTATTCTGAGCTTTCATTCCGTAATATCATTACATTAAGATAATCAAACTATAATATACTATATTTGACAACATATTTTACGAGTAGTATTAGCTGAGTTTACTCTTGAGCCTGGCAAAACCTCCCATATTAATTACTTATCGCTTGGGCACAGCTAAGTGAAAATGAGTATTCCTACCCCAAAAAAATGAGAATATGTGTCACGGAAATTTAGAGGAAATTGAGGGAACTCATCATTATTCAGAAAACGGGTTCAACAGTTTTAATAACGCGCGTTACTTAACATCAGCACAGCTGATAACTAGTTTGATAAGTTACCACGTGATATGCTCGTCATATTTAAAATAAAGGATCTTGAACACTTGACCGGTGAGCCAAAAACAACCTTTGCCTCTACCGAGATTTTAGAAGAACCCCCAAGGTCACAATGGCACTAAGAAAACACGAACAAATAAAATGGAACTTTTCCAATTGATCTCAAATAAATAGATATGGGCATTTGTTGTTGGCAACAATCAACATATTCCAAGAAATTGTGACGTCTGTATCTCGATTCATGGAACTGTCCAAGTAAAGCAAATACCCGGCGCAGTAATTGAAACATGGTATGGTTCCAGCTTTATGGCACATACGCCCATATTACGGCTTCCTGTTTAACTTCCTGGTCAAATCCTGTTTAATTAATTCATTTTTACGACCGGTCTTAAACGAGCAGGTGCCGCTACTATTGGCAGGACAGTGTCAATTTGGCACTCACGTGTACGTCAGGCCTCTTCATATCATAGCTTGTAAAAGAGAAACATCAGTAAAACTTCATTTTAAAACCCCTGTATTTCAGGATTTGAAACTGTTGAGTGGCTCATACCCCCATCTCGACGTTAACTCTGTAATTAACAACATAATGCTGACCATAAACGAAAACATGCAAGTAGATGAGGCGCTCTACTTGGATATTCCGATAAACTTCTACGACTTCTTCAATATACTGTGCGGGTGTGCTCTGGTGATCAAACACTCTTCTCCTAATGCTTACAACCTCCACAGCCAACTGGGGGTAAATCAATTGGTCATTATTACTATAATATAGTGTTTTTATGTTTTATTATACATACATTATGTATATATTAAATATTTATTATATGTGCTATAATTGTGATCATATTAAAAGTATTCTACCGACCTGAAAGCCTTTTTAAAATTCAAATATATCTATTTCATGTATGAACTGGACGTGTGCTCATGTCGTCGAAGTAGTTTGACCGAGTAGTTGATGTTAAACTTAATATTATGTTATTTATCAGACGGAGACGGATATCTCTAATGGTGGAGGTATCCTACTCTCTCCTGATAAGACTCCCTTACCCCCTGGATCTGAGTCTCCTACCAAGTCTCTTAGTAAAAAGAACACCCCTTCTGAGACTCCCATTCAGGTACATTATAAGATTATAGCATTATTATTACTATTCAGGTAGATTATTTAATAAACTCTTTATCAGGCTGAATTGTTGATCAACTTTGTAATTTATCATGTAAATTTATATCTTCTCTTGTAATAAAAAACAATCAAACTTCATGTTGAATAAAGAAAACTATCGTCATCAACCAATAACCTAATTAACTAGTTAACAGCGAGTAATTAATTAATTAACTAATTAACGGCAAGTAAAACTGTAAGTGATTCTGTTGATTTATAGTTAGTTTTCCTCAGACCCCGGCACCCTCTGCACCGGACTCTGATGGCAACGACGGGGTGAGAGTTAATCACGCATCTCAAGCCTCTCCAAGCCTGCCATTTCACTCTTCACCACATCTCAGTCACATTCACCACAGCATGGAAGTTTATGCTTGTTCTTTTCATTTCACGTTTTCCTAAATTAGCTTTATTATTTGAAATATAAAATTGGGTGCAATTTTCAAAAGATTTATTCAGTGGGTGGATGCCCCAGCATGAAGCTACTTGTAGTTGTAGCGAGTGTGATATATGCCAAGATTAGGATTTTTCATCTCCAAAGCAAAATATTTGAGGGATACATTAGCAAAAGCAAAAGCAACATTAAACTAAGAATATGGTCTATGGGAGTAAATTTTCAAGCGCTGAAATATTATAAACTTTACCTAAAGTCAATAAAAACAAATTGTCGTGACTGGCCGGCGTCTTTTGTCTAATTTTGCCAAATTGACACGTGATATGACACGTGATATGTGACAATACATCCAGACAACCCGTACTAGTCACCCTAAGTGACCCCACAAATCACGTACTCCAGTGCGCATTCCACGGATGAAAGGCGATTATGAAGTCAAGTCACCACCCTTCATTTCTAAGTGCTTATAAACACCGTTATTGTCATTTTCCTTTGGTAAAACAAAGGAACAATGATGGACACAATTAATGTCCACTTTAAGGGAAGGATTTGATTGACAAAATTGTGTTGCATTTCTGAGGACTATTCCCATTGATTGCTACGCTATTTAATTAATATCACTTGCACTAATAAATGTATAATGTGAAAAATGTAAATGTAAATGTGCAGCAAGCTGATTAATGACATTAACGTCGTTAAAATATCGATATGTCACTAACAATTATTGTCACTTTTGATTTGCTGCATGTTTAATTTAGCTTCATGTTTATCTTATTCTTTCTTCATAGCCAATCCTCTTGTTTTTCTGAATTCCAATTATTGGACGCTAAGCTGGACATCCAGTATACGTTTCAGGAAGGTTCAACTCCAATGGTAGACAGCGTGGCTAGTTTGGATAACCTTCGAGAACAAAGTATCCTTATTTCTCCTTCTATTGGTAAGTTAAACGATTTAGAATAGTTAGATTATTTTACGATTGACTTGTCGTGGAAACCGTCCGCTTGAGTAAAAGATTTTGTATTATCTTATCTACCCTTACCCCGCGTTTTATCACAGACGAGAGATGTGGAAGTTTCGAAGACTGGGATTCTCGAGTGGAAGATTTCTTCGTGTGTCACTTCTTCCCTGCTGCTGATAAACTGATCGAGGTGGAGGCTAGAATCGCCGAACAAAGGGAAACAGAAAGGTTTCAGCAACTAAGATATTACCTAATATGTTCAGAACTCTTAACTTATATCTTGTCGTGCTTATAATTATGCGACGGCAGGGAGAGAGGAGTTTAACGGTTACAACACTCAACCATAAGCTTTTCTTTACATAACATATCAGCAAGATATCTTACTGCATATTAAATATGATGCTGGGTATATTATAATTTATATTTCAACTAATGTAAATAATTTCCAGACTGGAGCAGGAGAAGGCGGAGGAAGAGAAAGCTCTGGCCCCGGAGTTACCACTTATACAGCTCAAATCACCCTCTGTTGCAACCAACCAATCTGATATTATCAATCAAGAAAGTATGGACACCACGATGACCGAACAATCAGCTACTGTCACAGTGTCTGGATAAGAATATCGGACTAGAAATTAGAGTCCCTTCTCGTTAAGGGGAATTATAAGCTTCACTTGTACTTGTAGTAATAGTATATTGTAAATAGTGTTAATGTGTTATGTTAAGTTTCAGTACCAACAGTTTTACAGACATTTTTATATCATGTATATTGTATAACTATATAAAATCAATTCTTTTAAAGAAAATATTCCACTTTCACGAAATTTTATAATTTTTGTAGTTACCTAATAGTAATTAAGTAATACCTTGTATACATACATACATGTTACATGGTAAGGTCTCCTCCTAGTCGTTGGAGTGGCCTGCATCACACACATCGCGTTGGCGGCGTAACATATGTCTCCACTGTACTCGGTTGGTAGCCAAAGCTTCTGTTGTGTCGTTGTCGATGTTTTCAACACCTGTAAACTTAGCAGCATCTTCGAGTACGCAGGACTTCCAGTTCTTACGGGGTCTGCCCCTTGACCTCTTTCCATAATTTGGCTTCCAGTTCAACAGAAACCTCGGTAGTCTAGAGTCTGGCATTCTAACTACATGTCCATACCAACGTAGCCTGGCAGCACTGATGAAAGTCTCAACTGACTTGATGCCAGCCCTCCTAAGAACTTCGTCGTTGGTCACATGAAAGAACCATTTAATCCTAAGGATCCTTCTCAAGGAGGTTTGGTGGAAAACCTCGAAGCGTTTCATCTGCTTTTTGGTGGTGTTCCAGACTTCAGCTCCATACAACAAGATGGTGAGGACAGCAGCCCTATAGATCCTGATCTTGGTTCGAGTCTTTATAGTTCTGCTATTCCAAATGTTCCAGAGCTGATGAAAGGCGCCATTAGCCTTCTGGATACGGACATCCAGGTCTCTGTTGATTGTCCCATCCCCACTGATAGTTGCACCCAGGTAGACAAAGTTGCTAACCTGCTCGACGGGTTCACCCTCAACCGACAGCTCAATACAATCATCCTTGATGAAAGGTCGCTGGGAGGCGCACTTGCTTACAGCCATGCATTGGGTCTTCTCTGCATTTATTCTGAGCCCAGCGTAGGAGCTGTAATGAACTAATAGATCAGTTGACTCCTGTAGGCCTTCCCCTGAGTTGTCCATAATAGCCATGTCATCGGCATAATCGGTGTCCAGAATGACCTTTTCCTCGACCGTCTTCATCTCTTTCTGCAGCACTGCGCCTTGACTGATGATCTTGTTGGTCTCAGCCAGAAATGCAGAAAAGTTTAGGCAGAAATTAAAGACAGGAGGTGCTTGAATGTCACCCTGACCTGTGCCTGAGTTAACATCAAACCAGTCTGTCAGCTCCCCATTAACCCTCACGGCACTCATGGTACCCCCAAAAAATGACTGAAATATTCTGACATATTTTTCAGGCAGCCCATAGTGTCTCATACTGCACCAAATAAAGTCCCTTCTGATAGAATCAAACGCTGCCTTGAAATCGACAAAATTAATGTAAAGAGGAATGTTAAACTCAAGACAGTTATGAATAATAGTTCGGAGAGAATAAATCTGATCAATACATGAGCGGTTCTGTCTAAATCCGCACTGATTCTCCCTGAGAAGACACTCCATACCAGCATGCAACCGCTTAAGAAGAATCATCTGAAAAAGCTTGGATGCTGTAGACCTTAAGGTGATCCCTCTGTTGTTCCCGCAGACTGAAGTGTCTCCTTTCTTCCCAATAACAATGATCACACCCTTTAACCAATCTTCAGGAACAGTCTCTTCTTCCCACACTTTCTTGAATAGACACTCTAGTTGATCAACTAGAGCACTCGCACCATACTTCAGTTGCTCGTTAGTTATCCCGTCCACTCCTGGGCTTTTGTTGTTCTTAAGCTTTGTCAGGGAATAACTAATCTCGTCTCTGGTGGGTGGTCCATCCGAACAAGAGAGAGAGTTAAAGTGGGGTTGGGGTGGTACTGTATCAAGGTCGGCAAGGTCGACACTTGATAATGGAGGGTTCAGAAGTTCAGTAAAGTGCTCCTTCCACCTATCCCTCTGCTGTTGGGGATCCGTGATCTTCCTACCGTCCTTGTCCCGGACACAAGATGCTTGAGGCTTCTTGTTCTTACCAGAGATCTTCTTGATCTTTGCCCATACCTCACGCTGCTGACCTTTGCTCGCTGCTTCCTCAAGATCAGTAGCTACTCTAACTGCCCAGTTATTGTCGTCTAGCTTGCTGCTTTTCTTGACTAACTTATTAAGTTTAGAATACTCTGACCTGTTAGCGTCCGAGTTTGGGTCTTTGCGCTTAAACTGTGCCCGCTGAATCAATAAATCCTTGGTCTTCCGTGACAGGTGTTGCTCCTTTGCCTTCCGGGGTCTTTTGCCTAGTACCTCTAGTGAGACATCAGTGACGGTCTGACTGATATTACGCCACATATCCTCGAGGTTGACCTCATTATCCAGACTTGCAAATCGATTTTGAAGAGCCACATTGTACTCTGTAACCGTAGTACTATCCCTCAGGCGCTCAATGGCAGGCACATTGGGCCTGTTGGCGTTGATCTTTGTCACTGACTGAAGTTTGATTTTCAGCAGTCCTAGAACCAGATAATGATCGGAACCGATGTCTGCCCCGCGACATACCCTAACATCAAAAAGTGACTGACGAAACCGCTTTCCAATGCGGATATGATCTATCTGATTGACGGTGAGCCCGTTGGGGGACCGCCATGTTCCCTTGTGAATGTTCTTGTGCTCGAAGAGAGTTCCCCCGATGACAAGCTGGTTCGTCGCACAGAAATCCACAAGTCTTGTCCCGTTGTCATTTGATGAGCTGTGGAGTGATTCCCCACCGATGACCGCTTCACTTCCATATCTGCCTGATGTTACTTTTGCATTAAAATCGCCGAGCAGTAACTTGATATCGTGACGAGGTAGCCCATCAAATGTATCTGTGAGTGTCCTATAAAACTTATCTTTCTCACTCTCCTCTGCACCCTCAGTTGGAGCATAGGCCACAACAACAGAGATGTTGATTTGCTTACTATGCAGCCTAGCAGTTAAAACCCGCTCCGATGTGGGAGTGAACGATATCAGGGAGTTTCTGATTCGTTTTGAAAGACTGAGACCGACTCCCTGTCTCTTGATCCCGTCGACTCTACCGGAATGGATGAGTAGACTGCCATTGTCCAGTAGAGTGGTGCCAGATCCAGGCATGTGAGTCTCGGTGATCCCCAAAAGATCTAATCTGTACTGATCAATGTTTTGACTAAGTTGGTTGTATACATACATGATATAAGTCCTAAAACCAAGATCAGATGACCTGTCATGTAGTCAATGCAGTAATTCGAAAGAAATTTGATCATGATGTCAGAGTGTAATTAATTGTAAATGATTTCGGCACTGCTCAATTTTGTTTAGAATGTTTTGTTTCTGGTGTCTAATATAAAGGTATATATGATATAACAAAATTCTGTTCAAATTCAATACTACTACTACTACTAGTCTATGTAATAATATAAGTAGGTAGTGCGCCATCAACAGTGAGCCGCGCGTGCACCGACTGTATAGGATGATTTTTGGCATAATTCATAATTATATAGCTACATTAACAAGGTAACACATTATAATTTACTTGGTGGCGCTCAGCCTGTCATTCCACCGAATCTTTATGTTTTATGAACATAATAGCCTGGGGTCTCCAGCTAGGTAAATTATAATGTAATAATATAAAACCTGTAATATTGAATATGTATAATGAAAAGTTGATATTGAATATGTATAATGAAAAGTTGATAATTGACGATGTCAAATTGTCAACCCTCCCAGATATTGTCATACGTTGTTATATGACCCGCCGCTAGCCCCCTGTATTATATTAGGGGGTGCACGATAAAAATAAACTTGTCCGGATTTTCAAAATTTTTGTACCATGCATTGTTTTCTATAAGAGACTGTGAGAATTTTCACAGAACCAAATTTGTTATACCTTTTTGGAATGATCAGTAAGTTTCGCTTAAGTGCCATATTTTATGGTACGGGGCTTTTGGAGCAAAATAAAGTAGGTGTAAAAGTCGCGTAATTTGACGAAATTCGTTGATTTTTGTCGTATTATTCTGTTATATCTTCGGTTCCTTGAATGAGATCATTCTAAAAATTTGTGAGGACTTTCCAATAGGGCTTTCACAACTGTCCGAAAATGGGACAAAATGGGGCAAAATACGCTGCTTTTAGCTGTAACATAGTGTCTGATCATGATGGTTGGATATGCTTTAAATTTTTCGGACACTTTCAATTGTAAGTTTATGAGTAAGCTTACCTATTTTTATTAAAGTTGGATCAATGATCAAGGTTACTCAATATAATACGCATTTGTTTCAAGAATTTTGTGCTGGCCGAAATTAGATGAGAAGTAAAAATGATAATTGATAGTTTGCGCGTCGAAGCGCGGCGAACGGGCGAAGTCCGTACATCCTTCAAAATGAAAAAAGACAAAAGGGTAAATAGTGGTCTCCAATAACAATTATTTGCCTTAATGCTTAAAGAATAAAAATCGAACGAACGCGAATGCTTTGATCATCTGTTCATTTCGAAGCAGGGAGCTAGCTATGGCCTATTATACTTAATAGGTAGTACATTACCCCAAATCTTTTTCATGTACGTACGTACAGATAAAAGTAAATTAATTTATGACATCACATTTATTCACATCATCAAATTGTCACACATTATCAATTATAGACCTAAAGTTAAACTTGCTTTCGCCATGATACATGGTGGCTTTCGTTATACGATACTGTACTTATAGTTACTGGGCCGGCGGCGCTCAGCCTGTCATTCTTTGTATCACGTTGTGACACCCATGGTCGTCCTGACGATACAGGGGAGCCGCGCACTCGTGCGCGGCGGGTCATACAACGTACGCGCGTATATGTATATGACAACTGACAAGTCATTCTGTCGAATCTCTATTATTATATTATTATGAACATAAATATAATAGCCTGGGCCGGGTCCCTACATGGGTTAGTGATATTTCGTAGCAATTACCGAGCGTGTTGTAGCGCGATGCACTACTGGGTCGCGCGCGCATCAAATAATGCTTAACTTCTTGCAACCGCAGATCGGCGAGATGCGAAGGATTGACATCGTGAATCAAGGTCCCCGACAGTTGAAACCTAATTCAATCGATGTATATTCAAACGCTGATTCTGAATCACCCTCATGACATTAGGGTTAGGGTTTCAGCATATATTATGTTAAGGATTGGGTTAGGGTTAGTATAGGGTTGCAGTTGGGATCAGATTAAAGGGTTAGTTATAGTTTCGAATAGTCGTTCAGGACCAGCTAGAGAACGGGTTAAAAAAGTCACGTGACAGTGGACAGTCGAGTGTAGAGTGATTAATTATCATCCAGCAATTACCTCGGCCAGCCATTTTGTGAAGAAAGTGGTACGCGCTACTTCGAAAAAGTTTAGACAAGTAAACATGTCGGTCAACATCGGTCAACATCGCACTATTTATAAAAATTTACAGTATATATTTCCTCACTTACATTAATTATTTATCAAATACAATATCTTTAAAATTATCAAAACATTATCCTATTTTAAAAACAAAAAACTTAATCAAACTACCCAGTAGAATAAAAATTTATAAAACGCTTATTTGCCACACAAGGATGAAACCAAAAATAATTGTTATGTTTCTTTTTATTACTGCACTGATATAACTGGATCCCCCAATTTTTATCAATACTTAATTAGAAACTGGAAACATTCTAAAAAAGCAATAATTTGTAATACTTCTAGAAATCATATCTTTCTTAAATCATTCTAATTTAATTTTAAAGCCTAAAACTGTTACAGAGTTCTTGACGTTCGGAGGGAGTTTGTTCCAATATGAAATATATAACTGGCTCCGGGAGAAAATACTTCTGGATATTCTTGATTTTTGTTAAACTTCTACTACATCTATTGGTTAAAAAAAGATTAAGACCGGATCTGCCAATTTTAAACATCCCGATCCATAATTAGTCAAATCACTTGTTACTTTAGAAACTTCTATGAGGTCCCCACGTATTTCAAGATCTACACCATTTACCTTATGATTTAGATTTACCTGGGAACCTCAGGCTATAATGTCCATAAATATAAAGATTCGGCGGAATGACAGGCTGAGCGCTGCCCAGTAAAATTTTGATTAGTAAAACACTGAAAATTATCTAAAAATTCGAAATTGGCATGGCAAAAAAGCTGCAATAAATTGCATGTGTCATCAATTTCATATGTAAGATGTCAAAATTTCACCCAAGCTAGTGTCAGTACCCAGAAAGTTTTTTGAAGCTACTTCAAGAGCCTGCACATCACATGGTACATTTCCTTTTTGAACGGCCACTTTAACACAATATTTTCAATATATTATGTATTGAGAGGAAAGACAATTTTTTGAGAGAAAAGACAATTTTATTATTTATCGCCAATTCAATACATAATCAATAAATATATAAATCAAAAATAATCAAAAATTAAATGATACAAGTATGCTAGCAGCTAGCGCGCTTGTATTTCATCAATATACACGCTGTTAAAATGGGTCTTACTACACCGCCACTCACATTAGCACAGTTGGTGAACGGACCCAGGCGCTGTTAAGCTTTTATGAGCCCTTCTTGACTGCTGAGAGTGGCGACGAGTCTGACATTAACTTTATCTTAGTTTTCCCTATATTCCAGTAAAATTTTAGTTTTGAGTTATATGATTTTTATGCGATATTTAAGTTACAGCTGCTCGCAATACATTATTGCTTAAAATTTGTTAAATATGCTCGCTATACACTTAACTTTTAGATACCGTATATATATGTACATATTAGCTCATAATACCAAATAACAATAATGAATAAATCAAAAGCATGAAGAGGTCCAAAACCAATTCAAGCATGACACCAGGTTGAACACATTGTCATCGGAAGCAGGAGTTGAATAGCCTGTGTCACTACATTTATTCTCCTTAAAGTGTCACTTTTGCATACAAATTTAGCAACAAAAGTAAACAAAGGACAATTGTATTATTGTATGATGAATATGCAATAGTCTAAACTACAGTGTAATTTTCCTCCATTTTACTTCCTGTGTGACAGCTTGTGGCCAGAAACATTTATCAACAGTCAGTTTTGTGACATGTCAATGTATTCAAGCATCGACAATGTTTCATATATTGTTACCACGAAAAGAATGTATAATGTTATAGCATCATATATGTATAGTGTATATAAATGAAGGTGTTCTTAACAATGATTTTCCAAGGTTTATGGAGGAATGTGAATCAAAAATAAAAGATGTTTTTGTGTCTTTCTTCAAAGAATGTGGTCCTCAAACCATTGACACCCTCTACAAGAATCATGGGTAAGTAATTTCATTATATTTCATGATATGTCACACTGTAAAATCGAAAAGCTCAGTCTCATTCATCCTCATCTGCAAATCCAAGCATTATAATAGCCGGAGCTCGAAGAAAAATAGTTGGAACTCATTTATACGGCATTCTTTACTATAACTGACGAGCAACTTTAAAAGATTTTTCACCAAAGTTACTAGTCTCAGTAGTAACAGTTTTAATAAAAAATGTATGGTAATTAATCCTTTTGATAATTACCATATTATGTTGATAAGTAAGGATGGCTAAACTGTATTGCATTTCAGGCCGTATAATCCAAAGACATCAATCGCTTGCTGTTACATGAAATGCATTGTGAGTTTTAAAAACAAGGATAGTGTTCCAGTTTGCCCAGAAGTTATCAAAAATGAAGATACTTTCAGAAGACCCACTGCTCTTATTTGAAAACCCCGAACCTAATTTTAGCCTTATGTAATGGAAGATTGTCTGGGCCTTTTTGATTGATGCATTTTGTTTCATTTATTATATATAATACATTTTATATGTATGTCAGATTGGGAGGCAGATTATCATTTTGAGTACTGTGAATGTGCTATTAACACAATCCACTTAGAATCAACAAGCAAGCTAGACTCCCAAGGGTGTTTGCAATGTGAAATCAGTTTGATTAGTTTTTGTTGTAATTGTGTGTACCATATTATACATGAACAGACATGTGAATGGACTCAATTTTCACTGGTTTAATTATCAGGTTGCAGTAAGCTGCTGGAATGAGGAAGCAATAAAGGAATCATACAGCTATGTCAAAGAGACACATAACATGCTCCTCAAGCTCCAACTGGAGCATCAGATGTTTGGTACTCCTGTGGAGAAACTAGTCCTCAAAGTGAGAAATTCAAAGAAAACCGTTCAAATCTATACTATTTTTAAATTAAACTGGATGAAATTTCCCTGCAACAGCTTTAAGTAAATACAGTCACTAGTCAGAGTTCCTTGGGGTTTAATATAACTATTTGAGCTCTGGTCATGCAACACGAATGGCATGGCATACCTAATGTTATTATTATACAGGGTGGGCCAAAAGTCAGTGTGCAAACGTTGGCCTTAATAGCTCAGTCACTGAGTGCCCAATTGGTTCGAGGAATTTGTCAACTCGAAAAATATTCGCGTTCATTTTTTTCAAATGGAGGGTTATTTTCACATTTATTTGATAGTTTGGATAGTCGGATCAAGCTAAATGATATTGAATTGTGTTTGGCCATTCGAATTACGTTTGTCCTGAAAGAATTAGAACTGTAGCTTCTCAGATGACCGAGATATGAAGCATAACGAGTTTATTCATTACGTGTGATCAGGTGATTGGTTTACCTAATCACGTGATAAGGTGACCCCGTTAACTACCCCGTTAAACATTATGGGAATTGTTAAGGGTGCCCAATTAAGGTGTCGTGTCACGGTGTCACATAATCACCCAGTCAATTTTGTTAACGAGATACAGAAAATGCTTGATAACTTCGTCATTTCTAATCCGTTTTGCCTCATGTTTTCAGATCATCTGCAACATTTAATAATCTACCGTCTCTGAAAAAATTAGGTGTTCAGCATGTTCAGAGAAAACAATATAGGTGTTTTAATATTGAATGGGCGTGGTCTAAAATATTCGAATTTTCAAATTTTGACGACGGAATCCTCGAACCAGTAAGTACAGTATGCCATCTGCAAAGCAACAGCTCTCAAATATAAAACACGGCGGAGGTATAAGACCCAACGTTTGCACACTGACTTTTGGCCCACCCTGTATAATAATGAAACAAGTTCAGTGATGGAGAAGAAATTATCGAATGGAAATAAGAAATACAAAAAGTTACAACAAAGATAAAAACTTCTGTGCAAAACCTTTTGACTCGATTATAAACTCACTCAAAGGAGTTTATAGATTATCGGAGATTATGTAAGGATTGCCTAAGATGAATTATAAACGCCGGCCAATTGATATCCTTGAGATTAGTGATCAAGGACGTAAACAGGAAGTCTCAAACACAGAACCACAGTTGGTCTTGGATCCGCAAGCGTGAACTCTCCCGAAAATATTCCCTAAAATCATATATTTCCTCAAGTAACATTTCCAAAAATCAAAACATACCAACTCTTCAACATTTAATACAAAATTTTACAGTATATAACAGTAAAAACAAAAACTTGAAAAATTCAAAAGAAAAGTGAACATAGCTCATTTTGTCCTAATTTTGATCTTCCTCAAAAGAAATCATAATAATTGTACTTTTAATGTAATTTAATGTTTTTCCAAAAGTCATTGCCAGTCATCCCAGCCATAGTTTTATCACCATCTCTCTCTCTGAAGGTTATTTTAGAATGGAGCGATGCTGGCAATGGTTATATTGAGAGCTTAAGAGTTTGACATTTAATTTTTCTTTGTTCTAGCGTGATATAGGTATTTGATTTGGTGAAAATCTGCCTAGCAAAGTCATAGGTGCAGATTTCGTTTTGAGGTGAACTTTTAAGTTCCCGAGAAATCTTCTTAGGTTTGCTTTTTTTCTCCTTGGGCACATTTGTATCCTACGGGCCAGGTAAACCTAAACTACATATTGACCGTTAAGAGGCTCATGGTAGTCGGGTGGCGCGTACGTCGGTATCTGTCAAGGAGCCAAATCATCTGAAAAGCCCTAAACATATATTTTGCTCAGGCACGTAGCCAGGATTTTTCTTTGGGGGGGGGGGGGGGGGCTGTCGGCGAGCGAAGCTGCATACTGTGGCAGGGGTCTGGGGGCGCAGCCTCAAGCGGGGTCCAGGGGCGGACCCCATTGGCGGGGGCTTGGGGGGCGCAGCCCCCGGTAAAATTTTGCGAAATAGGGTGTTTTAGGCTAAATTGAAAGTTTAATGAATTTACGAAAATGAATGGTTTGGCATAATCATTGCCTACAATCCTGACCTGAGTAATTTTCCCCTTTGAGACTTTATTTTGGGTTGTAAATTGAGTTTATCGAGAGGAAGTGAAAAATCTCTTGTTCAAATTTGGATTTGAAGCCAATTGTTTGTGCAGAAAGCGCACGATTTTAAGGGAAAAAATGTATGTTTGCTTTTAATTTTTATGGTCCTGTCGGCACCTGAAATCGACGAAATCTGCAGGGGTGAGCAAAGTTGAAGCAGGACCAGTACCTCTCAACAGGAGAGTGAGTGGGGTGAGGATGGAACAGATCAGTGCGCAGGTCGACAGGGAGAAGTATGTCATTACCAGATCACTCCAGGGTGTGGAGGTTCTTCCCTCTTCCATCAAATCTTCGTATTCACTCTTTGAGCCTAGGTATCCTCTTCTGCCATCTTCTATTAGCCATGTTATAATGGACACAGCTGCTGTACTCACGTAAATGCTAGTCAATAGAAAGATGGTCCAGCTAGCCTTTCCCACGAGAATGCTTTCTTGGCATGTGGCACAACTGCAATATCATGAGAAGAAAGCAAAGCACCGTCGGTAAAGCAGTCGGTAAAATATACTGGATAAGATTTCCAAGTTGATAAGCGGTATAGCTTGCAGCATACTGCTCGTTATGCATGCTTAGAAGAACAAGCCCAAAACCCGGCTCACCTTTTAAAACCAATGTCTTCATCAAGTTAACCTTGTTGTCCATCCTCCTACTTTTAGTGAACTGCCACAAGTCTGTTGCAACAATAATCATCCATGAGACCATGTAACTAACTGTGCCCAGGGTAAGAGCTTTTTCAATTTATTCTGTGTAGCGGTCTTACGATTTGTATGTACCGGACGACACCCAACACACAGTTCATGAAGACACTCATCCTGATAGCAACAGCCAACAAAAAATAGCTGATGTAGGTTGGGACCGTTATGTAGGACATTCCACTTCCCTCCGAGATCATCAGATAAAGAATGGGGCTTTGTAAAAGAACTCCTAATCCTACAAAGAAATCTGCCAGTCCATTTTGGAGATACAAGACATGCACTAATTTTTTGTTGGTGTGAGTTTTAACCCTGAAGTATGCCATTATGACGCTAAGCCCTAAGGACAATACAACATATAGATAACAAGACATTAGCTGTGGTGAGGGTCATGAGGCTGGCTTTGTTCAGGCTTTCTGAATCGGAGGAGTTCAACTTTATCCCATTTTCCATCAATATCATCGATTTAAATGTAACTACTGGAATATATATAATACATTCTCTTCCGATGGAATCCCATGATACATCCCATTGCATGCTCATTTTCGGTGTTAAGAACTGACTATCAGAATAGGCTCCATACATCTCGTTTGTTGGGATACAATATTCTACGGTTACCAGTAACAGTCCTAACCTTGTAAATTAAAAAAAATTAACAACATTTGAAACGAACAATTAATAGAAAGTACAGCTCAGATAGTACAATACTAGATTCTATTGAATCACTTATTTGTATGAAGTTTGTTGGGAATGAAGTAAGTCTTACAATAGAATTTTATTGTATTGTTACCAACTTTAAACCAGGCTTGTCCGCCGTGGCTAAATGGATCGGCGGCGGCGTTTCACTAAAATTACACCGGCGGCGGCGGCGTACGCCGGCGTGAGCCGTGAAATCAAGGCCAACTAAATTGAGGTCTATGAAATATGAATATGATCATGTACTTAATTTGGGTAATTTAGACTTAACTTCGACAAATGATGTTGGTATATTGTTATGGTATTATCTGCTATCAAATAAAAGTTGAGACAAATTGATACAATTATTTTAATTAAGGTAAAATATATAAACAATAAATCATTGCCGAAATCAATGGATCTCTCAATATTTTTTGTTGGAAACAAAATCATAGTTTTTAGAACAAAACAGTGTATATTTGAAATTCTTAACATTCATTCTAGATCGCTGACTAGAAAGAATTAAACCTGCAGCCGACTAGGTTCTTTCAATTTCCGCACTACTGGCAGGTATACAATGCACTATTCTTACTATGTTTGAGAGTATTGGGAAAGTTTTTTGCCTATCGGCCCAAAATCTTAAAAGTTCGAATTGTAAAATTTCTTCTTCAGTCAAACTTATGAGTAGGTATCTGCTCAGTTCTTCTGATAATCAATATTGTTAAGTTAGCTAAAGGTGTGTATCATGTGTTTGTTGCCCCTAGCCGCTAATCGCTATCAGTAACACTGATATCTTCAAATGAAGACAGAATTATTTTGAAGTCAGAAAATGCACGCCGTACGCCGATGTACGCCGGGGTGTATCGGCGGCGTTCGGCGTGGCAAAATCACCCGGCGGCGGCGGCGTTCGGCGGCGGCGGACAAGCCTGCTTTAAACAAAGCAACGATTTATCTGGCCAAACCACGACTCGTGAGACAAAGACGTTTGTCTAAATTTCAATGGAACTATTTGATGAAACAATTGTTTATTTTCAATTTGACCACTTACTTAATTATTGTATTAATTTGTACAGTATCGTTGTGGAACACAACAAGAAAATTGAGAATAATCTTGTGCGAGGGTATAAGGGACCCAGATGTCGTTTCTAACCCAAATTAAAACGTTAAGGCCAGCATATCTAAAAAATACCTCAAACTGATTCCGCCTTGTTAGACACAGGGGTGGCATATAAAAATATAAGTGGGGAGGATGTGGAATCACGCTATTAGCCGTTCTCCGCACATAATCGCAATATTTTCCGCATTCAAAAAGATTGTCTTCCGACATTCATCAACCTAATTTGATTACACTTCTCCAGGTCCTGACTGCAGAAGCATTGCTGTTGATTGCTGTAATGAAGATGGCGGTTAAGCGCTGCATCAAGCACTACTTGAAAGCAGGTAGATAACACTGCTATAAACTTATCATTTTCTGTGATGTAAACGAGGGAGGGGGGATGACTGAATCACAAACATATCCTGATTTATCCCAAAACTTTCTTCCGTATGAGACAATTTGATATTAAACAAGAAATCAAATTGTCAGTATAAATGATAGGTCAGGAATTTGATTAGTAACTCAGGAGTTTGATTAGTAACTCAGGAGTTTGATTAGTTACTCAGGAGTTTGATTAGTTACTCAGGAGTTTGATTAGTTACTCAGGAGTTTGATTAGTTACTCAGGAGTTTGATTAGTAACTCAGGAGTTTGATTATTTACTCAGGAGTTTGATTAGTTACTCAGGAGTTTGATTAGTTACTCAGGAGTTTGATTAGTTACTCAGGAGTTTGATTAGTTACTCAGGAGTTTGATTAGTTACTCAGGAGTTTGATTAGTTACTCAGGAGTTTGATTAGTTACTCAGCAATATGATTAGCAAAAATATCAGCACTGCTACTAATATAACTGAAGTTGCATAATATTTTTAATAATACCTATTACTTTACAATTTACATGTCATACATAGCGAAGCTTTTATGATTTTGAGAATACACCTCAATGTATACCTCCCAGGGAGTGCCTCCCTGTTAAGCTGTTGTTGCAGTTTTAAACTTAATTTTAATTTAGAATATGAAGGGTATATCTCACTTGTTTCAGGTATGAATTTGAGGAAGTCCTGGAAGATTCTAGCTGCAACACAACTCAAGATTGTGGAGTTGTGTGAGAATGCTGGCATCAACAGTACTAAACTAGGTTAGAAGAAATTCATTTTAATAATCCTTAAATTTAAAGCCTTAGTCCCTCGGACACACTCATTCTCGAGAGATCCACAATTCGGAGAAATCTCCTAATTTTAGCCGTTACATTTATTTAGCTGTGTTAGTTAACGTACTTGGCTTACTATTGTTCATATTATTAGTGCTTATTAATTGTATGTAGTGCCTTCTACATGATAGAGTACTGTATCAATCATTGGGATCAACTCAATATCCACGGTGTATTTATTGACTTATATTTATATCAGGATAGTTGTTTGAAAACAATCCGATTGAGGAAAATAATTTAAACTCAACCTAACTGCCAAGTTTTAGTGTTGGTTGTATTTGTAATCAAACATGATATTACATAATGTAGGGGAAGATTTTAAATAATTAAATTGTCAAACTTACACTAACTTACAAAAACAGGCCGATGGGTGACCGACAACTGAACCCAATTGAACCTAGTTCCCACTAACCAATCAGCTTAATTACCCTATAGTGTAGACACTGTTCAGACCTGTCTTATTGAAATGTAACTGAAAGTTGAGACGAACTAATTTCCCTTCTCTAGATGACTTGATAGCAGAGGAATGCGATGAGGAATGTGATTCCACTACAAAAGACACTTCCCGTCCTTATCCAGCTGAAGATAACTTCCTACAGTCTTTTGATCTAGTCGAGGACTTCCAGAGCTTCTTTGACAGCAGTGAGTTGAAATGTTTGAAGTGTTTGAAATGTTTGAAATGTTTGAAATGTTTGAAATGTTTGAAATGTTTGAAATATTTGAAATATTTCAAGAGGAGGCTATGTATGAACATGGGTTAAATTCCCAATTTATTACAGTTTAATCTGATATTTATAACCCAGACACATGAATGACCATTGATCAATTGACACTATAATTTATCACAATATGCTAACATTTTGTCTCAGAAGACACATGTGTGCCAGCTATAAAAGATCTCAAACAGCTAAAAGTAATGTCTCTATTTGGATATGGTACGTTTTATAAATTATACTCTTATCTTAACAAATCCTAAAATTTATCGTTAGTCGTGATATTGTAAATTTTAACAACAAAAAGCTACAAAATTTTTGTTTTTATTCTTCTAACAATTATTGTTATGGAAAATGGAAATTACTCCATGTTATAACCCTCAACCAGAATATTCCTAAACACATAATATTATTTGTAATTGCGTTTTATGTTACCGAAATAGTGAAATGAGCAGTTTTGCGTGTAATCTTATTGTCCAATAATCCAAAAATACAACCTAAAACTAAAAGTAACATTATCAAATTTCTCCTTTTATTCTCTTGCAGAATATCCAAAGTGTTGAACTTATACATGAATTGTAAAAATATGGGGGCAGATTGTATTACATTTGCTGCAGGTAATTTGGTCCTAAAAAATGTATCAAAGACGGTAAAATACCGCTGTTATCTTTACAAATGAGGAGATTATACTCTTTCAAACATAATTTAATTCTACAATTCTGTCTACTCAACCTCTTTTTCTAACGAATTTATGTATGACCATCCGTACTTGATACATGAAACTAACTTTATCAGTGATGAGTTACTTACTTGTTTACTTGAAATTTTTACCTGGTTTTTGTTTCAAATGATTATCTTCGTCGATTAGTCACGTGACTGAGCAATAGAACACCCTCCGTAATATATCTGAAAGTTCACAACATAACCATCTAAATTTTTGAGTCCGGGAAGGAAATCTGAGAATCTTAAAAAGTTTAAAATATCGAACACTGTAGTCTAGATCCCATCTCTATCACCACTAATATCATGTGAACTGCTTACTCAATACACAGACTCATCATGTGACTATTTAACTTATCACGTGACTATTTAACTTATCACGTGACTATTTAACTTATCACGTGACTCTTACACAGGATTGTTCCACCTGATCTTATCCCTGATCCCACCTACTGTGTTACGGGTAGTTAACCTGCTTGGTTTCCATGGTAACAGATATCTGGGTCTTACTTCTCTCCGAACAGTCAGTAAATCCTCTCCTAACTTCAGATCTACCTTAGCGAGGTAGTTCTTTCAGCTTATTCTGGGTATTTAGTGATGATTCTGAGAATCATTTTTGATAATGATAGTTGGGGACGAAGTGAGAGTCACAATTTATTTGTATTTTAAGAGAATTTGTGGCTTTTTTAATGACGAACCTGTTTAACAACGTACGTGAATCTGGTGCTCTTAACTTTGCGACCAAAGTTAATTAGTTCAATGACAACTGTAACTCAGGAGTTACATTGCGGCGGTGTACTATTATTTTTAGTTATTTCAAGCAGTTTAGTTACGTTGAAGTTAAGGTTTCTCAATGATAAACAAATATAGTGTAATAACGGTTGATTTATTCCAGTCTTTCATTTCTCAGTGTAACGTTGCTATGGTACCACGTCTCCCTCAGACCTACCTTCATCTCCAACTCTCAGCTCCTCGTATCAGGTAAAACAACTCGTACTACTATAACTCAATTGGCTACTATTTCTTTGTATGAACCGCAGTTTATCCGATAAACTATAAAGAGAGACCTTCCACTGCAATATTCGCTTTCCTCCTGAAGGCTGAAATGTCGCTCCAGTTATACTCTTAAACAAACAATAACACCAAACGTGTGTGTACCTAGGTATAAACCAAGGAGAGAAGATTATAGATCAGACTTTAGGACCGGAACTGCGGGACACCTGGATAACTCTTTACTTTTCTGGAACTATGACAAAACTTCAGGTACACACAACCTCTAACTCTCTAACATGACAAAACTTCTGACCTGAAGTGTACCTGTACAGTGTACACTTCACCTGTAATATGTTTCATGCTTTGTACTTTTTATATCGTTCATATTTCGTACTTCTTATGTTGTTCATGTTTTAGCTGTTTAACTGCACTCGTATGAGTCGTAAACATGACTGCACTCGGTTCTCTTCAGTGTGCCTGGTTTTATTTTCTCATTGGAAATTCTGACAAGTTGCAGTAATCACACATTTTTTAGTTGCAGTTATTGTATCGTTAAAATGGAATTATGGAGAATGTATATTGTATACTCAGTCCAAGTAGTCATTGGGGTTATGTTACACATACATATAATAAGGACTGTACATTATGTAGAAAGTGCTTCATGAACATGTTAAATTGACATCCTTCTTGTTTGTAAACCGAAACCTTTAGCTTAACAAGCTAAGGATTAAATATCATTTATATAATGAACTGATGTACTTTTCTGCAAAACTCCCATATTTCATTACTCCATCCAGTATTCAGCCTTATCTTATCTTATATATAACATTGTCCCGAGTACTGGGACATAAGTCAACCCAATTTTAAAATACAGACTTAATGACTGAACTCTTATTTTAGCCTGTAAAATTAATTGATTTCTAATTGATTTCTAATTGGCTGTTCATCAGGGTAATGTGGAAGGTGCTCTAGAGCTGTTTCAAGCAGCAGCAGTGAAAGCGGCACATCTTAGAGAGTGCAAGTTGATGGCTTACTATGAAATAGGTAACTTAATCTTGTTAAATTATCATTTTAAGTTAGCTAGAATGTTAGATAACACGATATCCTTACCTTATTAATATGAGCTAAATTTTTTGCTTACATTTACTGTAGGCCATTAAATTACTCATATAATTCACATGTCCGATTCAATGTTAACATTTAGTTAGTTAGTAAATTTTCTGCTAATCCTGATAAAGCTTAATCTCAGGCTGGTGCCAGCTAATTATTTGGAACTGGACTCAAGCCTCAGAAATATTCCTAGAGTATGTGATAATTTACAGTTGGCAAATATCCATTTACTCATATTGTTGATATACGTAAATTTTGTGATCACAACAATTTTCTTGATTTTGCACTTGATATATTAAACAAAAATGTTTAAAGAATGTATATTTTCAGTTTAATGGCGGAAGCACGGTGGTCGAAAGGATTTTACGGTTACCTAGCCGCCAGTAAGTTACACAATACACAATATGCATACAGATAAATATGTAAGCTTATAGACATATAAACTGTTTATATATACATGTAGCTGTTATTAAATCTTACATAACATGAACATCACATAAATCTTAAAAGAAGCATTCGCAGCGTAGAAATGATTTGTAAATAACATGAGCCAAATGTTCTGAATTGGTCACAGGATCTATTTACCTCAGTTCTCAGTTTAATCTCCAATTTATTTGTACTTCCTTCCGGTACCACTTCCCTCTTAAGTCCTAGCTGGTAGTCTTTGACGTCAAATGACGTGCATGTACACCACTGCTCATAAATTATTTGTCTGTACTCATTTCAAGATTCTAATGCACAACCAAATGCAGTTTAGGTATAACTTCGCTACTTCCTCCTCGATTTCAGATTTGACCTCAAATCTGTATATTTGTGGGGATAATATATCGCAGAATTTCCGGTGATAAAACGACGTCAGGCGCGGTAATAAATTTTATACATGTCAGCATAAGAGAAACGCACATGGTGGAGCGCGCGCATGGTTGGTTTCACGTATTATATTATATCATGCATGCCGCGGGAACTAAAATTTTCAAGTGCTTACCAGCTCACTGCTCTAGATAGCTAGAATCTAGATGACACAAACATCTTACAATCACGTACTATACATTTTGTGAGTGCTAAATCTTCATCCCTGTCTTCTGAGGTTCGAAACAATATTATCGGTTAGATTGTAGAACTGATTCACCACAGTGCTGTTTCCGTCCACCTTAAATTAGACAAATCACTCCACTCCTATAATAGTCCTATGATACATGTAATCTATTATACTATTGACTGATTCTGACATTATGTATATTTCAGTATCAATGGGAGCGAGTGGAGGTTCAGTTGCTGCGTGTAGAGCGATACTAGCAGGGTTACCGGGCAGAATCAAGAAGACTGTAAATATCGAGCTAGACACTTACTGCTCTAGGAAGGTACGTGTTTTATGAGCTTGATAATCAGTTAGTGCCTCAGCGACAATTCGGAAAGTTAGTCTTCTTGATCAATAAATTAATTGTTTATAGTGCTGTCAACTGTTATATATCGCAGGCAAATCAGGGTTCAACCAGTGGCGTAACGTTGCCTGTTGGCGCCCCCCCCCCCCGCCGAAAATGCGCCCCCCTGTTGGCGCCCCATCCCCTTTTGGCGCCCCCTTTGCCGCCACTCCCTAAAATTGAACAAATTAGGTGATTTTAGAGGATACGCCGGTAAAATCTTTAAAAATGCGTGTTTCTAGAACAAAACGTGCAGTTTTGCTAGTACCTCAGTTAAGTTTTTCAAAATTGTCCTGGCACATTCTAACGACGATTTTGCGCCCCCCTAAGATGCCCCCCCCCCCCCCCCCCCCCCGCACAGCGGGGTCAGCGGGGCCCTTCGTTACGCCACTGGGTTCAACTGTTACTAGTTCAATACTGTATCATTTTTCTTGTATGTAAACGAACTAGTATCCTGCAAAGCTATGCCATGTACTAAATACACTTGAAGTTCTACTTGAAATCTTATGTAGGCCCCGTTTAGCTGCTTCATTTCCCTTCGTGCTTACAAGTTTTGAGCTCCCGATGCCTTAACTAATATCTAAATCTGATAACATAATTTGATCTCTTGCAATTTTGCGTGAACGAGAAAGTAAAAGCCCAATCACCAGGATAATTACAGAGAGTTTTAATAATGGGATTCTTCAGGCCTTATCTCACTATAATACCTGGAACATCACGTTTATGGACTTAATCCGGCTCTGTGGAGGACAAATCTCACTCCCTCATTCCTACTCTCATATTGTGGTAATCGTGGGCTGGTTTGCACCTGGATGACAAAGGAGCAGTCCTAGATCGTATAATCTCCCCATTTATCTTGCATGAGTGTCATTGTCCACCTTTGCTTATGTGTGTATAGCATTATCATAGCAGAACGCAAGCAAAGTTTTTGGGCGTAGCTATAAGAAATCGGGGATCGGGATATCTTGTGAATTGGTTTTGTTGAAATGGCAAAATAAACAGTATTTTTGAGGGTCCTGTGATGTGATTCTCTCAGCTACTTCCGTAAGACCTGTTTGTTAGGCTGTCGTGTTGGGAGATAACATTTATCTGGGACTACATTAAAAAAGGCTGAACTGCAACGAATATGCAGCATTGATTCACTGAATACGACACATTTCCAATTAGAGACATGATCTGAATTATTACTCGGTATATTTTCATTTTACAGTTCAGTATTACAAATCAGTTCAGTATTACACAAATCAGTTCAGTATTACACTAAACAGTTCAGTATTACACTAATTGCATACGTTGCTCTTTTCTTACTCTCTTATCTTAGTGCTTATCTCTGTTGATTGTAACGTGCAGCTACAGTGGTTTGTGTATCACCGTGTTACACGACCATGACCATCCCGCCCAGCGAGTATGGTGAAAAGGAGATCAACATGTTAAGGGGTGACTCAGTTGAACTTCTCAGCAAGGCTATGTACGAGATGGAGATCACAGCAATGAAGCAACTATCCCCTTCGTGCGTGAAGAAGATGAACAAGAACACTGCGTGTGACTTGTTGCACGATGCATTAAGATATTTGGAGGAGTTCACTGGTGTCGTATCCACGGACTACAAGATGGCCTCAAACTCAGTTAAACATCTTATGTTCGAGACACAGGAGACCATCATTAAGCTGCAGTCAGAACTACTAGCCTGCAAAAATGAACAGTTGGAATCGTTGCAGACGTCAGTTAAATCGTCAGTCGGAGAGTCTGTCAAGGCTGAATTCCAATCCTTCAGCTCGGTATTACAGGCGAATTGTCCAGAATCTCAGAAGCCTGTCAGTTCTGAAATGATCAAGAAAGCTGTGAAAACTGTGGTACAGGAGGAAGACCGAAACAAAAATCTGATGATTTTTGGTTTATCGGAGCAGGACAATGAGGAGCTCAGCACCGTGGTCAGTGAAGTGTTCTCAGCAATCGGAGAGAAACCCAGAATCGAAGCTAGTAGAGTCGGAAAGCTCAAACCTGGCAAGGCTGTGAGACCAGTTAAAGTGACTGCGGCAAGTGCAACAATTGTTAATCAGATTCTCGCTAAATCGAGAAACCTGCGAGCAACGGAAAAGTTTAAAACTGTTTTTATCAGCCCAGATCGATCTCCAGAACAGAGAGCCAAGCAAAGAGAACTCATCAGGGACATGAAAAAACTGGTAACTGAGCAGCCTGATAAGCTACACTTTATCAGAAACGGTGCTATAAAGAGTACTGATAAGACTAATAAGACTGCAGAATGAGCTTGTGTGTTTTTAATAATTGATTATTATTATATATATTATTAGTATATATTACTATTAGTGTATTCAAGTTTTTGTTGTGTGGAGGATGTTTTAACTCACTCTTGTGTGCCCAGTCTTGCACTGTCAGTATTTCTCGACACTTTGAGCACACAAAACTGTCAGTTTTCGCGACAATTGTCAGATTTCGTTTTCAGTTCTGTCAATTTCAAGCGCTACTAGCTCTTCTACTAGTAGTCTACTTCAGCTCACATTAAAGGGAGTTTTCGTCGTGCGTGTAGCGCCCTTCAAGTTTAACTTGGACGGATAGGATTTATAAAACTTCTGATTATAATATTTATACTATATTGTATTTTGTATCTATGTATTTTAGTAAATGGTCATTAGAACCACCGGCACCGTCCGGGCCCAAACAAACAAACAAACAAACATTGATAAATTGGACAATAGTGTAAGTAATTGAAGTAAATTGTATATAAAATTGTCACAAAAAATAATTCAATCTCATAAAATCAAATCTAAAGCATAGTCAAATGTCCAATAGCTTTCAGGAAATCCATGGTGTTGGTGAAGTTGTCGTAATCGTCTACAATTCTCTGAAGCTGCTGATCGTAGCGGATCCATTTAGGGACACGGGGGTCAGGAAGCTCTCGTCCTTCTCTCTTGGTCTTCTTCCCGTCGCGTCTGTAAGGGCCTGCTTTTAGGCGATCGAGGAACTTCCAAATAGTGGGCTTCGAACAGGAAAACATTGAGTGGAATCCACACTGCCATCCTTCTGCGATGATGGAAGAGCGGGGAATCATCATATGGGCGGCTTCGTGTTGATTTCAAAAGTGGAGAGCGAGATTAGGATTTGTGGTTGATATCCAGCCATGTCGAATGTTATTAGGTAGGAGGGGTTTCAGGTGTCTCCAGGTTCGAGGGATGTCGGTCTCTGGTACGTAGGCAATAGCTCCAGTCATAGCGAAGTATTCCCGAGCAGGTGAGTTAGCAGTTAGATACTCCACCCAGATGTTGGTCTGCTTTACATGCTTCCGGAGGGCTTTCTTGTAGTGAAAATTGCATCCTTGTCTGATAGTATAGGGCCACACGGCAGCAACAGCGTTGTGAAATGTAAATGGCGAACTCGTAGTCCATTAGGATGGACTACGATGGACGACCCTCTAACGAACAAGTTGCGTTAGAGGGTCGTCGTTTTGCCAGGAAGGAGTCCACAGCAAAGGGGGAGGTGCCAGCCGTCAGGAAAGAGACCGTGGACAGTGAAGAGTTGGTGGAAGGGATTAGGTGCTGACTTGAAAGTACCGTCGATTACCCAGGTCACGAGGGTTAGAGGGATGTCTGTTCGCTGCCTTTCTGCTTCTTTGTATCATTCTGTTTAGGGAAAATAGCTGACAACTAAGTTTGGCTCTGGATTCGTAACCCATACCACGAACTGTTTCAGATATAAGGTACTTCGTCGGTTGATCTTCACCGATATACAAACTCAGAAATAAATTTACTCGCACATTTATCTTTCATGAGGCCTGGTACTGCCTTGTTAATGTTACTAAATAAGTAATTTTCTTTGGGATAATTGTCAAAGTGACAACCCATCTCTTGAAAATCTTTATGCAGATTGCAGATCTACTGTTAAGAAAATAAGAAACTATCAGTATCCGTAAAATATAATTTAAGGTTACTATATTTGACCTTGAGTGTATCATACCAGAATCTATACATTAACAATTTCGATGAATCTAAATTAGCTGCTCATAAATATATCGGTTTATCTAAAATTATCCGGGGTTTTACAAGTTCTAACCCAAATAATGCTGGTACTGTAATACGAATCTTATGCTTTAACTTAGGAGACAGATTAAGAGCAAGCTTCTTTTGAGGAGCAACGAATGGTATTTCATCAAAGCCTAGTCTGTCTACTGAGACTAACTGATGGTATTGAATCCAGCGTGCGACTGCTCTGTTTCCCGTATGAAATTGTTCCATCATGCCATCCAAAGACGTTGATCTGTACACCATTCTGCTTCTCCACCTGCCCAGTCTGGTAATGAATTAATGTAATTCTAATACAAGAACCGTTCGACCACCTTTTTTTTAAGAGAACCGGGGCAGGAAACGATAATATAAAAGCTGACAATTAAAATAATATAATTAAAGATCAGGAATCAGTATCATATAAGTTTATCTAGCAGTTATTCTAACCTCATGAATAGGAATTGGGAAGCTGCTTTTCAAGTGCCGCAACAAGCGCCCATTCCAGACATTCGGCAAACACACGCAAAGCCTAACTCACGTCTCACGCTTTCACGGTAGCAGAAAACTGAACGATAAACTAACTGATAAGCGAGAGCAGCAGTTTTAACATATGACCTACACACAAATTTAACTATTACAAAATCACTTAGCACTACTGTTAACTGTATCGTTATGCAGATTATAAGTTATAATCAGCCGGAAATCTATACAGCTCTGTAACAAAACCGTTGGCTGCACTCTTCAGAAAATGTTAACCCCGTCTATGATGCTGTCATTGAAACAGATGTCAACGTGTTGTTCAGATCAATTACCGGGGTCGCCACATAACATAAAATATGATATTTTTAGTTCGGCTACACACGCCCCAGAAACAATGTTGAAGGGATCGCTGCTTCTGTAATTATTGTGGTCGATACTTTTACCAGCTCAAAGCTTGTTTTCACAGCTTACCTCTGATATAGGACGGAAGTCAAACACAAGTTTTAGTTTTATCCCTGATTACATAATCTCGTCTGGACCCTAACTGTAGCAATAAAACGTAATTTTTGGCAGGCTCCTGCGTTGTTTCCTTTCTTTACTTCTGTAAGACCTATTAAAGGCTGTTGTTCTGAGGGAGTATCATCCTGCTGGAGCCACACAATAATACAATGATCAATACTGTCATATGTGTTCGTGCCATGTTATAATCATAGTATTATATTCGTAGTATCAAACTGGCTAAGTTGCTATATTTCAGAGCGAGATGTTAGCAAGTTCTAAGAATCTTGAGTACGAATGTAAGCTGGCTACTCTGGAAATTATCTACGTATGGAAGTGTCTGACCCTGAGTGAAGCTCAGGCTGAAGAACTCATTCAAGCTGTTGATAGTGAGTTGATATTTATCTTTTTCTATAAAAACAGTCGATCAGTTCCACGTGCTGGTGGGTCTGTTTGGTTTTTGTTCTGTAAGTATCTACAGTTTTGGTAAAATCTACGTTTAAACTGGATGTCTAACTCTAAACTAAGCCACCGCAAGGAAGGCTTACAGTCGACGCCGACCAATCAAAAGAAAGAACTCTGAAACTAATTAGTAATAATTAGTAATAATTAGCAAGAATTCAGTACATGTGATATAAGTGATAAGAGAAATACCCAACCTTTTCTCAGATCGACCACAACAACTCTCCCCCTCCTGCCTGGCTGTTAGTTATCTACTGGCTGGCCTATCATGGAAAACCTTACACAATCCTCATAAAGCTGAACAGGTTATTTTCTGGAGCTTTCTTTTTTCCCTAATAGTCTTTTAATTGGATATAATTGGGGGATGGGGATTATTTCGGCGTTGAAAATTCTATTTATTTTCTAAAAGTAGCGATTAGAGGTATTCTGAAGACCCCTTCCGGGCCCTCTTCCCATTAACTTATCTCACTTTTAAAATAATATCTGATTGCAGGCGTTTAAGATATCAGATACCATTACCCAGCCAGACCAGCGGGACAACTACATCACCGTGTGTGTTCTTAGTGAGATGGCGGAGTTGTATCATCAGTTAGGACAGGTTTGTCAAGAATCAATAGTTCCCACAGTCAGACAACGAATGAGTTTAAAAATTCCAACAAAATCTTTGACCTGGTTACCAACGTCACGTGCTATTCATCCCAGTTTAACTTATCACGAGACTTTAGATCAAACAAATCAAATTTGAAATATTACCATCGGTACTTTATATCTTTAATGAATCATGGTTTTAACTAATCTCTTCCTCAGGCTGAAAATAGTATTTTGATGGCAGAACGAGCCCGAACCGGTTACAAGGGATATCATCTAGAGAACAGACTTTACAACAGAGTTCATAACCTGGACATCAGCTGAAATAGTTCATAACCTAGACATCAGCTAAAATAGTTCATAACCTGGACATCAGCTGAAATAGTTCATAACATGGACATCAGCTGAAATAGTTCATAACCTGGACATCAGCTGAAATAGTTCATAACCTGGACATCAGCTGAAATAGTTCATAACATGGACATCAGCTGAAATAGTTCATAACCTGTTTTCATTACCTGGGCATCACATTTTGTATACCCTGCATATCAACCTACCACGGCCTGTTAACTCGGATGATAGGGTCTTCATTAACAGCAACCCTCTCGAAGAAGTCCACGACTTTAAATATCTAGGATCCTACATCGCTTCAACCAGCAAAGACATCAATGTCAGGAAAGGCCTTGCATGGAAAGCACTTGAAAGTCTAGATGTTTTCTGGAAATCTGGCATGTCTAGAAAGATCAAGACTAAAATTTTCAGAACTGCAGTCGAGCCTGTTCTTTTATATGGCGCAGAAACATGGACTTTGAAGAAAGCTGACACTAAAGCACTAGACGGTGTTTACACACGAATGCTACGAAGGGTCTTTGGTATCTCATGGAAATCCCACACACCTAACTCCGTCCTCTACGGAAATATCCCATCGGTGACTGATACCATCAAAACACGAAGACTTCGTTTTGCAGGGCATGTCTACCGTCTACAGGACCAACCTGCTCAGCAACTCCTTTTCTGGCAACCATCTTACGGCAAAAGGTATCGAGGACGACCACACAAGACCTTTCCGGACGTCCTTCAAGAAGATACTGGTTTAGAGCCCCACATGATACGTCTGCTCATGAGTGATAGAGATAAATGGAGACATGCGTTGACACGAAACTCGTTCCAGATTTCATCTGGACCGACCTAGGCAGGTAGGCAGGCATATCAAGAATCGACTGAAATTGTTAATGTTCGGTTTGTTTGATTTTTTCAGAAATGTTTAACAAAATAAAGAGGAATAAGATAAGTTTATGTAGATACGCTGAGTAAGCTTAAGCGGATAATTTATTTTGATAACTAAACTGCATTCAGATTAACATTATTATATGCTGTCCAAGAAAATATACATTTGAATATATAATAATACGATCCTTTGTATTGGAGCTATTTATATTTTGATAGGGAATTATTGTGTAAAGAACCTGTGTCGTTTAGCAATCTGCTTTCACCCAATTTATATTTTACAAAATGTGTAACTATTAAGTTAAGGGATGTTCCTTAATGTGCAAATTGAGTGGCTTACTGATTACTGATCAGGTTGTTGGTTGGTGAAGGTTGATACAGTTATATAAATTTTCGTGAATTCAAGTTTTACATATTCTACTCCAAATTGACACGTCCTTTAAAAATTAAAGTGTTTTCTACCAAAACCTCAGCTGAAAGTGAACGCTAATATTTGCACTGGTAGAACATCCTGTAGTACAGTAAAACCCTGGAGTTTAGGGACAACTAGAACGCGGTAAATCGGGAGTTTCATTGCTCATAATATAATGGATGTTAGTGGATGTTTGGGGTGGAAATAGCCGTGGTGAATTTGGGTTTGCGGTAGTTCGGGGTTTTACTGTATATAACTTTACAATTATCTCATGAAGCACTTTTATTACCTGAGACAGATCACATTTTGCACACCGACTGTATGATATTTGCTAATTTTATAATCTGTGTTGTAAACTTTTCAATTTTCTGTAAGAAATTTCGTGTTTACCTTGTATTGTATTGTATGTCTCTTCCTATGCTACACTACCATTAACGGGCGTATTATATAGTAAATTCTTCATGCTGAGCTCTTGAAACTTATGACGGTATATTTGCTCTAAAATGATATCTATTAACTATTAGGTCAAAGCTTCAGCTCGACAAAATACCGGTGGAAAATATTTCGTACGCCCCGAGATGACTCCTCAAGATTCAGTCTTCAATTAGACATAACTCACTAGCTGAAGTAGCTCTGATACGTCGGATTAGAACCTGTAAGAGTGGCCTCCAGAGTCCAGCTCGCCATTTTTGAAGTTCAAGCAAATCGAGGATGTTCAAAGGGTGCAAGATGTTCAGCTCGACAAAATACCGGTGAAAAATATTTCTTAAGCCCTAATATTCACCGTCAGAAAGCTTAGCCATACTGCTATTAGTATTATGTTCGTCTCTGAGTCTGATGTAGCAGTCTTTTAGTTTTACGAGAGGTATGAAATATGAATACCTTACGGGACCTATAATAATAATACTGATATTTCGTGGGCACTATATGCTATATGGGCATTTTACGCCTGTGATAGTATTAGTTATGTCTTGTACGTAAGTGTAACTGTAAGGGGCCATCTACTTACTCTTAGGAGGTCTGCCAAAATCGCAGATTTTCAGACCACCCCTCCGATCCCCCTGTCCGGGTGTATCCGAATTTTCGAAACCACCCCTCCCCCGGATGTCCGGATTTCTAGCTACTTTTAAGAGTACAAATAAAACCAACTCAAATTAATATTTAATAATTAAATTCAAAGAGTTGAAATAAAATTCAAAGAGTTAAAATAAATGATACTTTTTCGTTAATTCTGCCAAAATTTCCGGACGTCCGGATATGATTTTCAGAAACCACCCCCCTCGGCCCTCCCTTTCTGAAAGGGGGCCCCTGTCCGGATTTGTCCAAAATTTCAAAACCACACCCCTCCCTATTTGCCGGACGTCCTAAGTAGATGGCCCCTAACGTTATTATATCCCCATGGCAGTATAAGCTAAGAAGTTTATCTATAAAATTAAAAGAGTATATTATTCTTTAATTGTACTACTAGTACTACTAGCAGGAACCCGTATAACCCTAAATTGGTATCAAAACTCAAAAGACTAAAATAACTATTAGTATTACCTATTTAATTCGCGTTTTTGACACCACTTGGGGGTGCAAACTTTGGGCTCTTAAACATCTATTCCTAATTGGCCAATTTTTTATTTTTTCACGCTGATTTTGAGGCCATCAAAAAAGTTTCAATTGTATATCTTTTCCTGTTTTTGCGGAAAGTCGCGTTAAAGTTGATGCCGTGGTGTCAGTAAAATAGTACAAATAAAAACATCCATATAAATATAATTATATACCGTCTCGCTTTATATATACTAGCAGGAACCCGTCTAACCCTAAAATGGTGTCAAGACTCAAGAGACTAAAACAATTATTACCTATTTAATTCGCGTTTTTGACACCACTTGGGGTACCAAATTTTGGGCTCTAAAACTCCTATTTCTTGGCCAATTTTTTATTTTTTCATGCTGATTTGGAGGCCATTAAAGCATTTGACCCAGTCAAAAAAGTTTCAGTTGTATATCTTTGACGGTTTTTGCAGAAATTCGCGTTAAAGTTGATGCCGTGGTGTCAGTAAAATGGCACAGATAAATATATATATATTTCATGGCTGGACTTCTACACAATAAAAGAAAGCGGTTGTGATTAGATCTTCGAAAGTCTTTGCATCGTTTATTTACATCAATTCTGAGAAATTATATCATTAAAGTAACTACAACAAATACGAATCATATACAATTGAGAATAAATACAAACTAAAAGCAGTGGGAAAATCTGATGAACTGAAATTTAAAAAAGAAACTGAAAGCCGTTAAAAATGTACTCTTATCTTATCTCTTATCTAAATACTGATAACTGATTCTCGGAAAATCACTTAAAATCACAACAAAAACCTGTAAAATTTATACTTAAGTAAAAAATGTAATATGCACGTCTCTGGAATAATGGTATAACTAAATAAAATCTACAAAATATACTAAAACTAAAACTAAGCTCCGGCAGATTTAAAAAGTAGATGGTTACTATCAAGGGTGTTCATACCCCCAAACCGTTCAAGGGTTTTCAATTGGGTCTGGTAGAACCCCTCTCTAGCTTCCATAGCCTTTTCTTTGTCTGCTTTACTAATATTAGGCTCAAATACTAAAGCGTCTACTATAATGACAGAAAGGTGCTTACTAAGTGAGGAATTATAGCAGGCTATGGTACTAAAATCTAAATCATGATCAATATCTAAAAAATGGTTAACTAATTTACAACTTCTTATACCTTTCTTTATGTGACTCTTATGGTTAGAGAATCTCTTATGGAGATTTGAGGTAGTATAACCGACATACGACTGTTTACAAGTCTTACACTCCATTAAATAAATGAGGTTATAACTCTGACAAGATATATACTTAGTTATAGGGAAAACTTGTTTAGAATGGTGACTACTAAAATTGGAACAGGGGGACAGGAAATATATATCGTCTCGCTTTATATATAGTAAGATAGTAAGATGTGCACCGAGATAATTACACTTACCGCACGGGGCGGCCTGATCATATGAGTATGACACGGTTTTGCTTTTATCTCTAGAACTAGAAGTAGAACTGAAAGTGACTCAAAGGGCAGCACGACTCACGAAATTGAAATAAAACATATTTCTTATCAACAAATTGAGTTTAGAATAGTGCAAAGTTCTAAAACAATGTCCGTCTCCATTATTTTCGCTCAAATAAGGTTCGATACGATCTAAATTCTAAATCAGTGGCTAGCTCAAGGTGAGAAACTGATGACAACTACACACAATGATTGTTACAGCTTTTGACCACACAAAGTTTCAGTCCATCTGCAGTCTCACAAGTCACATCAGAGCTGAGAATTAAGCGTACATCTACTACATAAGTACATAATAGTAGTACTAAGGATCAGAAGGATTCAGAAGTTCAATCTCCAATTACACAAGCTTAATGAGTTAATGTCTGACTGTTTGAGTGTTTGATGTTTGCTAATTTTATCATTATGGTCTGCTTTGTAAACTTTTTCATTTTACGTCAGAAAATTTGAGTTTAGCCTGTATTGTGTATTTCTCCTCGACCTACTCTGCCATTGATAAGCTATTATTATTCATGTTAAACCCTGAATGCTAATCATGACAGTCCGCTTATAACAAACTAGCGGCCAATTTGGTTTTTAAAAGCTGATAATGGAACATGCTGGACTGTGTGATGTACTAGCATATGATTTTCATAGCTACTTATAGCTAAGATGAACAATAATCGTTCCGCATTGAGTTTTACACATTGTTATACAGATGAAATATCATTGACTTTAGCAAGCCTTATATTATAATGGCTTATATTACAATTTACAAGGACCGTTAACTTTAAGACATGGGCCTCAGTGTCTTGTCTCATCTCTTTTGGTTGAAATACAGTTTTGAGTAAAATAAGGAATTTAGTAATAGCACCATTCTGAAATTTGAGGAAGTTCTCTGATTAGACAGTTGGTGTGATTCGGAGCTTATGATTGGAGGATTAAACGCCCTTCAAGAACTACTATTACATTCTCCTTTGCAGATATTACTTATTGCTGGTGACCGATATTACAGCTGCAGCTAATTTTTTATATCGTTCGTAGTTCGTACTTCGTGTCGTTCTTCCTTTGCAATAATGTTTGGCCGCATATAATTCGCTCCACTGTTATTCTATATAAGTATATCGTACTAATTGTCATGCAATGCTCCATAATTTCTTGCACTTGCTCGAAAATTTACTATTGGAAATTAAAACATTTTGAACCGGAAAAATTAGTATAAGGATTTGATTTTTCATAACTTAATGTCATTTAATAACAAATTTGAATAACACGTAAGCTTGTACAGGAGCCGTCACATTGTTTAATGTTTAAAAGTTAACAACATTTTCTTTTATTATTTCAAAGATAACCAGACGATGAGACGATGATAAAATATTACGACATATTATCGGAACAAGTAGTACCCTCGTTAGCAATCATCGTCAACCGCGATGGCATTGATAAACTTGAGGAGGTGTTGCAGAAAAGAATGTTCGTGTACAAGAAAGAGTTTCTCATTGGACCTAATGCGGTTAAAATCCCGGATATCACAAAAGATCGTGGCGACAAAATAACGAATTTGCGAGTCTCTGACATGGAGCTGGGTCGTCCTGGTATTGAGATTGTTCCCGAAACGGGAATTAGGATGAAACAGATGGTCACAAAAATTGTAGTGCAGGGTAATTTTGATAAAACAATTTTGTTCGTCCCTATTAGTAGAGAGTTCACTTTGACCGCATCATTGACTGTAGAGGTGACTGTTGGACTAGATGGTTCTACAGACGAAGAGAGCAAATTGAAAATCGTTATCAGAACAATCAAACTGGATTTCCATAAACTTGATTTAGATTTAAACAACGATCCTATCTTGACGGAAATTATAACATCGCTTATTCCATCAATCCGTGGGGCGATTAAAAAAGGAATCGAGAAATCCATCCGAGATGGTATAAACAAATCTCTTGGTGACATAGACATTATGGAAAAAATTCATTTTCGAAATGAGTGGGATAAAGATAATATTCATCCGAGTGCCATTTTCGTGGCGGATAGGATTGAGTTGAATACCAAACTTCCGGGGGAGAAAAATTTGAGTTTTTTAGAGTGGCATGATCCAAAAAATGTGCGCACACTGCCGAATAATGGCACACATATGATTTACCTGATCATATCGAAGAAGTTTATTGAAATGATTTTAGGAGGTCAATTGAAAAATAGACTGAGTCGCTTGATGAAGGTCAAAAGTTTTGTGCCAAGATCATTTTATCAAAAAGGTGAAAAATATGTCACCAAAAAGTTTTTACCGCCATTTTTAGAGAATGCTCATTTGAAAAAGAGAGGCGAGTTTTTTATATTGTACTTTGATTTACTTATTGATGGTTTAATTGACAGAATGGAGGATGCTGTGAAGGAAAAAAACAACAGACAATCTAAATCACCAACTGATCGCTTAATTACACAAAAATTATCCCCGATTTTAAACGATATTTCAGTATCATGATATTTCCATCCATGATCCAACCTTCGATCTCAAATAGTTGTGCGGGGACCTGTTGTTTAGAGAAATTAGTTTATAATTGAATAATTATTGATGAAACACGAACTATGATACAAATAGGTCAAATCTGAACAATTTTATTCAGTAATGAATGAAATGATTTATAAAATCGTATGATTATTTTAGTTTTTTTTCTCCTTTTTAGTTTTTAATCTTAGTACTTTAGTATTTTCATGTCGTACAGCATACAGTTACCATTTTATTTTCAATATTCAAAGATTAATTCGAACTAATTATTAATTTACATTGTATAGTACCACAGTATATAAGGAAAAACTCCCTTTTTATTCAAATTTTAAGGTAAATCGTCTTTTTATAATTGCTCGAACACCAGAAATAAGGGAGAGCTCGAACATGTATAACATGACGTGACTGCAAACCTCTCTAAGTCTAGACGAAAAAAGTGTTAAGTGTTCGCAATGGTCCGGCTGACTCGTCTAGAAAACTACACAGACACTAGAAATCTAATGATCAGTTTCTTATAAGATGATGTAGTTTACCAACATAACAGGAAATGTACACCACCACTACCCGCCAGCACACCAACGTGCCAACTAACTCGTTACTTTATGGGTTCAGGGCAATAATCTTATAATAGTATTTGGCTGTATTATGGGTATATTACAGAGAGTTACAGGGGGTTAGCAGTGTTTACCTGGTATTATCTCATCTTGTATGGGACACGTCTATAACAGGGTGAGAGATACAATAAGGATATCTAATTTCATCTAGATATACATTCCTAAAGTCTCGTCTCGCTCTCTCCATTCCCAGTTTAGCTCCTGTTTAGTATTTGTACATTACAATCCTCCCGATCAGCAATAACTCCCTCTCATTAACTCATTACGGAGAGGTTTTACGGATTACGCGCTTCAGTGTGTTCAGCTCACAGTCTAATTTAGAGCTCCTCAGACACGATAGATTCCTTTTAACACAATGTCTGATGGGTATTACCTGCCAGCTACCCCTGCTGTGGGCTGTAATAGCATTTCTCTATTCATCAACATATCGTGTGCGCCCGGTCCGGAGTGAGACCAGACTAAATTGTGTATAAATTTGTTACGTTTGACATTTCTTTCCGGAGCTGTCTTGGGTATTTGTATAGTTTATTAATTAACGTGAACAGATAAAGATGTGATTACCGTTCTGTCCCTGATGATTGCTATGATCAGTTTTAGATCGGTCGTTCGCAGTTCGCAGTGCTACGTTTTTGCTCCTAACTTTGTCGGATAATCATGAAAGCCATCGACTAATAGTTATTAATAAGCAATAAGTTTTGAATCAGTCTAACATACTGGAATCAATACATACTATAATACTGCGGATTCGACATTTATTAGACTGAGGATCGCGGGTTTATAAAGTTATAATTAACCATATCATTTCTACAATACCACAGAAATTAAGCAGTTATCATTACGTTATGTTTCGTAGTACTAGTATAAATTCCTAGGCGGATGATAAATATTCCGAGGACATAACTTTATGCATTCTTCGGTGGATCGGCAATCATTTTAATTCGTTTTATTTTGCGATGAATTTTAATTAGAGGAATTTCGGTACATGACGCCTCCAAGTAGATACATGTATCAGCAGCTAGTTATTACACTGCCGTCTCTTACAGCCCTCTCTAATTTCACCCAAAATTAGGAAAAAATGTTAGCGACTCCAGGGTTGATCTAGTGCTGCTACTGCTAGGTACCTACGGGTCGTTATGTAGATTTCTGCTGAAGTTGGGGCCACATTGCACTTAAATATTTGTATGTCACGTGGGTATATCTGCTGCACCAATACTGCACGTGCAAGTTTTCACAGTGCACGTGTATATGTTTGGGTGTGCGTGACTTTAAAACGTGGTGTACTTATTATTTACTTTATCCCACAAAAAGGGTATTGATATGTGTCAGCTATATAATACCTGTCGTAGCGTAGAGTGAGAGAGAGAGAGAGAGAGAGAGGGGGAGAGAGAGAGAGAGAGAGAGAGAGAGAGAGAGAGAGAGAGAGAGAGAGAGAGAGAGAGAGAGAGAGAGAGAGAGAGAGAGAGAGAGAGAGAGAGAGAGAGAGAGAGAGAGAGAGAGAGAGAGAGAGAGAGAGAGAGAGAGAGAGAGAGAGAGAGAGAGAGAGAGAGAGAGAGAGAGAGAGAGAGAGAGAGAGAGAGAGAGAGAGAGAGAGAGAGAGAGAGAGAGAGATTTGTCATACGTCTCTAGGTTTACGGTGAGTGATGATAATATCGACTTTATATTTGTGCACAGTCATTGGGCGTTACGATTCTATTATTATGATAAGATCAATATCGGTACAGATCTATGCCGTTACCATAATATAAATGTTTGCTGTTAAATGCGTTCTTTCTTTTGTTTGTAGTTTCTGTAGGAACTATCCCCGAAAAATATTCTGTAAAGCTCGCGTCCTGCTTGCTATTTCCTTGAAATTTAAGAATTAAGGTACTTATCATCATTACATTCCGAAAGGAGTACTCCCTAGGAACGCCATATAAATCTATTTCCGTGACATCTAGATACTGCGTGTTAAGAGCTCGGGATTTAGCAAAATTGATATATCGAATAATATAATAAAACTATTTTATAAATACGGCATAGCTGCGGTGCCACTCCACATTCAACTATTCTAATATTTGACTTTTGAGCTACAAGTACAGAGCTTTCTAAATTTTGATCACTCTTTTTTCATGTCGTTTAAAGATCGCTTTTTTGTTTTGTTTTTAACTTCCCTGACTCATAATCATATATAATCGAATTTAGGTTTCATAATTCCTTTTAATTTGTCTATTTTTATAACTGAATACCTTTGTGTGCGTTTTTCTGAAAGCTTCAATTTGCCGTCACATTTACGTTTCTATACTGTTAATGTTTTGATTGGCGGTTTACAATTACAGATTCAGAAAATTAGGCACGAATGAAACGTTGTCAGTGATAAATAAATCAAATATTGAATATGAATTAAGAGTCTTACTGGAGACAACCAATATAAACTATGATTTCACTACCCTAAACACTACCAATACTTTTATAGGACCGGAGAAGCTCATCACATTCCGGGCTAAACAATGTGGAACCCCCTGCTGGTGCCCCCAAACACCCCCGAATACGGGGGTTCCCTGGTCTGGCTGTCTCTAGTGATCCTGACAGGGGTTGTCTCCAACCTGGTGCTCCTGGTGACGGTTGTGAAGACTAAGTACGTGTCCGGGCATGCTAGTGGGGTGCTGCTCTTGGCTCTCTGTCTGGTGGATCTGTACGTGGTGTTCTTCTCCGCTCCTCTTTATCTTATCTCTACCGTGTACCAGCAGCACCTGCTCGGAGACACTGGATGTTTGGTTACTAGCTACTTGGATAACACTGTCTCCTTCATCGGACTCTGGTGCATTTCGTCCTCTTCTATTGACAGACTTGTGGCGGTGTCCCAGCCACTCGTTTACAAGCAGATCGTCAAGAAGGGACGATCTTTAATTGTGCTCGTCAGCATTTGTGTTATCAGTGCTGCTGCATCATCCCTCATATTTTTTGCTAATAAAAAGTTTCTCATGTGCGATAACATTGATCAAACTGAAATAAGTACAATTATTAGTTTAAATAATCTAAACAATTTGAACACTACGACTGAACAATCTCCAAAACACTATTCTGTGTACGTAAAAATCTATCAGATAATTCACTCAGTGGTACCCCTGTCCGTGTCCCTCCTTGCTTACATAGGGATCTTTCTCTCGGCCAGAAACTTGAGAACTAGAGAGGTCGCACGGAAGAAAGTTTTGGATAAAATGAATCGGAGGAGGAGGATTGCAAGGGAGGAGGAAGATGATGAGATTGTTGAGATTTCATCGTCAATAGAGTCGGGTATTGATATGGAGGGGTCCATGACATTCTCTGATCGATCTGATGACGAGGACCTACCCATTGAGAGACGACCACGGTCTACCACTTCCAGTGGGAGAAGAAGCATGGTCGTCAACAATGAAGTCAGGAGATCCAAAGGATCTATCAAATTTTCAAACACAACAGTTTTCATGGAGAGTTTACACAACACTTTCTTTAACTCGAACCTTATGGAGGAACTGAATAAACTTCACGAGGATTACTTTTCCCTGTCCCAATTTGAGACTGAGAGAACCGACACAACAGATTTAGAGACTCCCGACCTGTCGCCGGAACAGGGTCTACAAAACATAGATCCTATTCTGATGAACTTCCCAAATAATGTAGCACAAGTTTTCCGGTGGAAGAAAAAGGAGAGAAGCGTCACTGAACGACTTCAAATAAAAACAGCGATCTTGTTAGCTGCAGTGGTTGTGATAATTGTAGGTTCTCATGTACCCACTCTTATATTCGAGCTGTCTGGTTCTCCGTCCCCAGTCACTGGTTGGTTCTCTCTGCTTCTCCCGCTCGTTGTTTATTCTGTAAACCCTCTGCTCTTCGGCTTCCTCAACAACACTCTCCGAACGAAAGCTGTGGAACTGGTCGTGGATATCTTCAGAAAACCAGAGAGTCAGGTCACCGCGGAAAGTTCGAATACGATGAGAAGGAGGGACAGTATGGCTGCTTTCAAGCGGTTTGGTAGGAGGATCAGTCTGCAGGCTGCACTTCTCACAGAGTTTAAAATAAAACGATTAAATACTGTCGGACCGTTGGAGATGTTGCGTTCTTCGGATATGTCTATTCTTAGTCAGAGGTCAGTCATCCGAGACCAAATGACTTTAAAGTACTTTGAAACAAACTTATGATCCATGGTTTTATTGATTACGTGATCATTTTGTTTGATTCTTTGATTGTAGTTTTGTTATAGCCATTTAATAACATATTGAAATATGTACTTTCGATGCTTTAATTCTTTAACCTTACTAGATCTTTGATAAAAACCTGAACCTTATTCCGATTTTATTCTGATGAATCCATATTAAGATATCAATAGGTTTAGCTGTTACTATTAGCTATTATTATTACACACTAGGTTTAGCTGTTACTGTTAGCTATTAGTATCACACTCTCTGAGGAATGTTCTGCTAAAAGAAAAGTTCGAATTTTATTAGGTACTGCATTTTTAGGACAGTTAATTGCGTGTTAAATTATTTATAATGAATTGCTTGAATTTCATAAAAGTTCTATAAAAATACCTTTGTTTAATTAGCTTTCATAATTAGGCAAATTTAACGATTTTATTTCAAAATTCATAAGAATGTAAATGTAGAATCCGTACGTCCTCCTAATTTGGATTTAAACAAAAAAGCTAAAAATTATCATTTCATTGCCTTTCCATAAAAGCTAAAAAATAAATTTACAAATTTTAGAAATGACGCACGCGCAATTCTGCTCAATTCCCGCTTAGCAATTTCATTATTTAATAAATGTGTAATTTCTGGTTTCCAACTGTGAAGAACTGTTTTCTCACTTTATGATTACGCGACCAAGAGAATGCAAGCAAATAACAAGGTGTAAGTTCAGAGCGAAGATAAGCGCTGGATTCATGTCTTTTATACGCGACGTGCATAACTGTTCTACTATCACTAATTCTAGTGATCACCAGGAGGCAGTCATAGTGAAGTTAAACCTTTAAACAACAGAAATTGATCGTGACGTCGATCCAGCAACTTGCAATGAGTCATCTTCGTCAGCCTATCTGATCTATATCAGGCAAATCTATATTTGCCTGATCTTCTGTGCAATCAATCTTTTCGCTTGTGAGTTGATATCAGTTGTCTCTTATCAGTAAATAGGTAATTGCACTGCCTTTTACTGTGCAGCTTTGCTATACACGAAGTATACACAATATGGAATTTTCGGTCAGTACACTTCACGAACTGGAGAAACAGATTGAGGACTTATCAGACTCGGTTTTAGCGAATCTTAATTGCAGGAAACTAGAGGACCTCACTCATGACTTGTTCAAGCCAAAAGGCGTTACAAAGGATGTAATAACCGAAATAGTTTTGAAGATGGGGTCTATGATATGTAAATCGAGAAATGTTTTGAGATCAGCAGCAGAGACGCTTGACCAACAGAAATCAGAACAGATAAAAACTCAGAACGAGCTCATCCAATGCAAATCTGGTAAACTAGCTTCAGTGAAGGAGACAGTGAAAACAGAAATGAAACTGTTTACAGATGTTGTGAAGAATAACAGCGTAGCTTCTGATATCTCTCCAGCTAAAATCAAAATGGCTGTGAAATCGGCGATTACAGAAGATGATCGGTCGAAAAACTTTATCATCTTCGGGGCCCCAGAACAGCTCGAATGTGAAGAGCAAGAAATGAACGAACGGGATCTCGTGGGTGATATTTGGGGTTTTATGAAGTTCATTGGAAGGCCGACTATAACAAACATTGAGAGAGTGGGAGTAAAGAAGTCTGACAGCCCTCGATCACGGCCGATAAAAGTTACTTTGCGAGATCCTGAAATCGCACGTGAATTTCTGAGCAGAGCAAAAGTCTTGAAATCGGTTGATGTGGCAGACTACAATTTCAACTACAACAAACTCTACTTATCTCCAGACAGGTCGCAGGATGAGCGAATCTCTCGCCAAAAGCTCGTACAGGAAATGAAAGAGGGAATCAAGAAGGACCCGAGCAAGAAATATTACATAAAAAACAACAAAGTTTGTGTCGCTGAGTGACTAATTATTTGAGAAAGTCAAGCATTTGTGTATGTGTGTGACGTTAATTTCATGGAGTTAAAACTTTTTGTATAACTGAGAACAGAGGTTAGAGGAACTACTGATAAGAGTATGATTAGACTGTGTTGCGTTATCAGTTGACTTTTTGCATCACTCTTCTAGATTATACGTAATAGGGTAACTTAGTTATAGAATAGGATTTTAGTTGTTGCAAGCATTGCACTAAGGTTTTAAGTTAGGTAAGTAGGCCACGAACTGTTGAGCAAACTGGGCTGGAAGCCCAAGCAATATGCAGTTCTGGTCTTGAGGCTATTTTACAATGTTTTATAACATGTGCTTGCAACTAGATCTTGAATGTCGCGTGCCCCACGGGGATTCGATTTATTCATACAATTTATTATATATTGGTTCCAAAGCCCTTATGGGTACCAGCAAAAACTGGTTTTCAAACAAACATTCTGGATCAGGCAAATGTCACCATTTTACCTTCACACAGACATCGAACGCTGTAAGAAGATGACGATCAGACCTCGTTATTGATGTAGATCCCGCTCGTCGGAGAAGATAAAGGCCTTGCTCAGCAATGGGTAGGGTTTGCAGTTTAGATAGCCATGTGGCACGCTGCAACTAAATTATTCTAGATTCTTCTCGAATAATTTTCAAGACTTGATGTCAATTTATTATCGGAGAAAAAGACGATTTATGAAGGAGCAACCTTACATTGTACCTACTACTATAATTTCTCAAGATGTCCACTACACGATGTTGTCCTACCACTTTAACGTATGTCCCTTAAGCGCTTTTAACTACCGTTCACCGAACCTTGACTGCGGCTTTCGTTAACAAGGTTTGGCCGGTAGAGGGTCCGCAGTAGTCCCATTGCCTTAGTATTGCTGTACAACTACTACAGAATTAATCACCATAACACTAGACCTCTGCCTGATCCAGAGGATGTCACCATTTTACCTTCACACAGACATCGAACGCTGTAAGAAGGTGACGATCAGACCTCGTTAGGGTAAGGCACATAATTTTGTCAGGGTACCTAATTTTGTCATTTTGCTCTGAAAAACTGCCTCGGCTCGGAATTTCAGCTTGAAAGAAAAGGATTGTGTATAAAAAGAAAGCTTAGACTTTGCTGAAACTGCTCGTACAAAGTTTAAGTTTCTAGCTCTTTTGCATCTGTGTCAAAAATGAAGGCGAAACTGTTAACCCGAAAAATAAATAAGATCCTTAAGGTTTTCTTAAGGAATTTTCAAAATTTTGATTAATTGCTATTTCAAAAGTAATTGAGCTAGCTTCATGCCATTGCATATTTCAAATATCTTCTACATCAGAAGTATACGTACAAATTTTCAAGTCTCTAGCGCAATTATTGTTCAAGTTACAGAGGGTGACAAAATTAGGTTCGATTTTGCCAGAAGTACCTAATTTTGTCAAAAAAATCGACCTTTCTCAAATTTCTTGTAAATCACAGATTGTGTTGAAAATGGCCTTATACAACTATTCTGAAGTTTTTTTGCCCATAGGATATGTATAAGGCACTTAAATAATAGCATAACACTTATAATAGCATATTTTCGCCGAGAAATATTAGGTGGATAATCTGATTTTTTCAATCTAAAATGACTAAAAAAATATTTGATGAAATTACTAAGCAAGTGATCTATCTACAGACATGAAAATTTCAACCTAGGCCTAGAACCAATCGTTTTTCAAGATGCCAGTGGTTTCAGGGGCATTTGGGGCTATTTTCTAAGATTAGATACCCAAAAAGTGTCATCTTTTCATCAAGCTACAAAACTATGAAAACATCATATCTTTGGGATTTTTGAGGTCAATGTTGGTAAAAAAGCGCTCGAATGATGCATCCAGGTAGTCTAAAATACCGAGAAACGGTTACTTTTTGCACAATCTTCAAGTGACAAAATTAGGTTCGGGGTGACAAAATTAAGTAAAGTCACCTAATTTTGTCATTTTTTCAAAATAATTTTTTTTAACATCTTCAACCCCAGCAATTTCGATCATTTTTGTGTTAGAACTTGCCTAGACTGTCTACTATAACATGGTGGAGGTTTCATCTAAATCGGAATTTCAGACGAGGTTAAAACCCATGGTTTATATCAGGCAGTCGGAAAATTGCCAAAAAATGACAAAATTATGTGCTTTACCCTATATAGGTGATATATTGAGATTAACCTACTCTTAGCACCATGACTACCTATCCGTATCCATATATATACTTTCAACTATCTATTGTCCTTAAATTGTCTGTAATGGTGCAGGTGATATTTATGCTTGATCAATTAGGCTGTTGATAGAGAAATCGGGGAATTTTAAAGTGCCAAATTCAGAAATTTCTCTATAAGTTTTATGTGCGCACTTATTGCTTGTAGATAGTGCTTGTACAATGTATATGGTGCAGTTGGTGCTTGTATACAAGCGTAAAAATGGGGTCTGACTTAATAACTAAACAACCTGAATTCTGTAGACTTTAAAGTTTAAAACCATACTCTACCCCACTCAATGTGATGATTCTGACCATTTTAAGGGGGGGGGGGGGGGGGATAGCAGTTGACCAACAAACTAGGACCAGTGACCGAACTTTTGAGGGGGTCCCGGACCCTAACCGCCAAACGGTGCCCGCGGGGCAGCCACGCCCATATTTGGTCCAAATTAGGCCCAATTTAGCCAAATACCCTGAACATGCCCAAAATCCAGATTTTAGGTGCTCTACTTGTAGCTAGTGGTTCCCTGAACTCGTATATGAATTTTCATCAAGATTGTACAAAAAATGACTGAGTTATGAGTTAAAAACCATATGACCATATTTGGGCATACGCACCAAATTTGATCGATTTTGGCCCATAAATTGGTCAAATATCAATATTTTTGAATAAAACCAACTTTATATGGAAGGTAAGCTTATACTACACATTATTTATGATTATCAGCTCTGTATCTACCTAACTGTGGATTCTGTGTTCAAATAATCGCAAAAAATGAACAAAATTGCCCATATCTCAGTTCGCGATATTTGCAAAACTGACTTCGCTCAAAACAATAGAACTCAATAGGGTTTCAATATTTTTTCATGAAATTTTCAGAATCAACGTAGAATTGTCTCATGACCTTAAGCTTTGGGACAGAATTTTGAGTTAGACCTTTAAAAAAATTTGGCGGCCGAATTCCAAAATTTGCACTGCTAAATTTAGAATTTGGCCGCCAAATTTTTTTAAAGGCCTAACTCAAAATTCTGTTGCAAAACTTAAGGTCATGAGACAATTCTACGTTGATTCTGAAAATTTCATGAAAAAATATTGAAACCCTATTGAGTTCTATTGTTTTGAGCGAAGTCAGTTTTGCAAATATCGCGAACTGAGATATGGGCAATTTTGTTCATTTTTTGCGATTATTTGAACACAGAATCCACAGTTAGGTAGATACAGAGCTGATAATCATAAATAATGTGTAGTATAAGCTTACCTTCCATATAAAGTTGGTTTTATTCAAAAATATTGATATTTGACCAATTTATGGGCCAAAATCGATCAAATTTGTTGCGTATGCCCAAATATGGTCATATGGTTTTTTGCTCATAACTCAGTCATTTTTTGTACAATCTTGATGAAAATTCATATACGAGTTCAGGGAACCACTAGCTACAAGTAGAGCACCTAAAATCTGGATTTTGGGCATGTTCAGGGTATTTGGCTAAATTGGGCCTAATTTGGACCAAATATGGGCGTGGCTTTTGGGAACCAGCTTTGTTTACTGGTTAATGTTTACTCAAGAATTTATACATACAATAATATACAATAATTATATACCTAAATCTGCTAATATAAAACCTAAATAACTCTAAAAATATACTCCACACGAAATTATGGACCTGGTAAGTAAGATTAAATACATCAGCTTAATACACAAATCAAAACAAAATTCTAGAAGACTGACAGTCTTGTGTTGAAAGACGAATATGATTTAGAAGCTTATCAAAAAAAATTAAAATCTTAGCCAACCAGGAATCCATAAATCCAAGCAAAACTCTGTCATAACACATTTCAAACAACAATTTTGTCCACACTACACACTTTGCCTCCTTTTATGTAGTGTCTCTTATCTGGCTCGTCGTTTGATCTCTTCTTGAGTTCTAAAACAAGCTTTTGCTGTTCGGCACGTTCCTCTGGAGACCTATCTGGACTGATAAAGACTCTACTGAAAAGTTCTGAGCTACGGAGATGCCTTGCTCTAGTCAAAATCTGCTGCACGATTGTGGAGCTCGTCAAAGTCACCTTAACAGGTCTGTCAGCCACTTGTTTCTTATCCTTGGGTTTATTCAAACCAATTCTGCTAGCTTCTATTTTTGGCTTTTCGCCAAGTTCCAACAACACTTGAGCGACCTTGTCGCATAACAGCTCACCTTTCTCTTCTTTAATACCAAATAACATCAGATTCCGACTTCGGTCTCCTTCTGCCACAACATCCTTGATGACATTCTTCAAAATGTTTCTATCCGAATCCAACAAAGGACCTACTGCTGAGGTTTTTGATGCCTGTACTGCGGCGCTGTATGTCTTCAACTCTGATTTCACAGTATCCTCGACTGATGCTACAACCACAGATTTCAAGTCATCAAGCTGCTTGTCTTTGGCAGCTAGCAGCTCTTTCTGCAATACAACTACTGTTCCCTGACTGTCAATTACATCGGAGTGCAATTTCTGATTATATTTCTCTAGCTGATTAATGTACAACGACTGTCTATACATAACTTTTAACGCAGCGTTAAGACTCTGAGCCATGACTTCCCTGGAGATTTCTCTTTTACCACTGAAACTCTGAGCTGCACACGCGTTAACATGATCTGCTTTAGCAAGCCCAAGAGTTTTCCGGATCCATTCAGCTGCATCATCTTTCACTTCATCAAGCTTATAAGCCACGTATTTCTCCGATTTATACATCACACAACCACGGCACCGGTTAAACAAGCAAGTCTTATCAACGTAATGATAAGTAACTGATAAGCGAGCACAAACGTATTGAAAAGTGTAATTACTGAACGCGGGCACCGTTTGGCGGTTAGGGTCCGGGACCCCCTCAAAAGTTCGGTCACTGGTCCTAGTTTGTTGGTCAACTGCTATCTCGAAACCAAGTTTCACAAAAAAATCAGGGTGAACCCCCCCTTAATGCCCAACATGAGCGTTTAGCTACAATTAGAAGTTGAGATATCCTGAAATAAGTGTGATAATTGTTACTCGCGAGACCACAAAAGGATGTGGTTATATATCAACCTTAAGTGTGAGGAGTCTTAAGTCTTCAGTCAATACATTTTAATGTTGCCATGGTGTGGCAAGTCCCCATCCATCGTAGTCCGATAGTTTCACTGCGTCATAATATACTCAACATATTACATTAATTATTCAACATTCAATAGAATTTGAAAATGCAAAAGTATGTAGTTTTGCAAAATTATCTTATTAAGTTATGACGAGACTGAGAGTGTGTGATCAATAACGTTTACTTCTATCATTAATTTGTGCCTTTGTTGTTGTTGTTGTTGTTGTTTTTGTTGTTGTTGTTGTGCCTTGACTTGGTTTGGTGGTAGGTTTGTGTCTTGATCAGAGAACCTCTCAGTTCTAACCTATAGCTTGTAAATGTTCCTCGTAAGCACCAGCAAAAATAAACATAAACCTTGAGAAATTGCATTATTGCTTTCTATTTATATCGGGTATGCTTGCGATAGTACTATAGTATTGGTATATTAAATTTGTTGAAATATTACGTAATCCAGCATAGTAGCTGGGGAGAGGGGGGTTTGAAAAAAAAAAACCATTAAAACTGTAATTTATACATATACAGAAAAAGATATATTTGTTAAGTACTTAGTACTACTAGTAGTAGTACTTAACAATTAGACTGAGCAGTAGTACCTTATGCAGGGGGAGAGGCCGGTCTTACTTTTACGATGCCAATAATAATAGCTGACGTAATATGTGAAATATATGAACGATTCCTTAACGAAACAGATTGGACGCTTTTACATTTAGTGTAATGAAATAATTAAAAATTGGATTTTCATCAATACAAAAATATTCAATTTCTATATCCACATATCTTGAACCAAATTCTCAGATTTATAGCCGTAAGTGTATCATTTTTCACAAACTCGGGATCGGTTCGTGTCGAATCATCAAATTCCCTAGAATATGGCGTATATAATCAAATTATGTGTTTAGCGACAAAATCAGGGATGGAACATGAAGAAATTGAAAAGGTGGATCTTGCAAATTGGATGGAGGATATGAAAGAACGGATTAAAGACAAAAAGTTGAACGAAATTGTTATACCAGGAAGCCATGACTCTGGGACTTACTGTATCAACAGCAAGTCAAAGTAAGATTCTGAAAATATTTGCAGATAATTGCTGTATATAATTTTTGACGATTTTCACTTATAGGTCTTTATCAAAAAATTCGTCGTTTTACACTAAATAACCTCTGGACGAAAAAATGAATTTTACTCGATAGGCAAACATACCTCTTACCCAACCTGAAGTTGCACTGCTTGAAGTCTTTACTAGGCAGATACGGATCCCGTTAGGCAAAAACGCAAAAGTACTCGATTGCCGTAAGTCATGAGTCAAAGTACGAAAAAGTACGAATTTGTAACAGAAATTATTATATTTTGACTCGTGTTTCACGCCAAGAGACCTATAAACCTTTCCACTAAACTGTTGGCAGCCCCCCACTTGAGAAACAGTGACATGGGGTAAGTGGGGTGATATAGTGATTCTGTAGGTGGATCCACTTTTTTCTATTGACGATGGCTCACTGTTTTGATGGATTTACTCTGATATGGTTATTCCCTGGCACTTGTGTCAGTTGCTAAATCCATATGTGCGGTATGCAAGCACAGTGTTATTTGAAGGTACGCAGTGAGATGAACAAATTTTATTAAATCTATTCTTTCGTTTAAAATTAATCAAGTAATGAACTGTTACCTAGGAACAACTAAACATAGGTGTCCGATACATAGACTTGCGAGTGTTCTGGGACAGTGAAACTGATATAAAGTATTTGATACACGATTTCGAAGGAGCAGAACTGCTGAAAGAGTTGGCGGATATTGCTCAGTTTGTGACTAACCATCCAGGCGAAATCGTCATTCTAGACATGAACCATATCTACAAGTCAGTGGTATTATACAACTCTACAAGTATATCATTTTATGAGGCATCGTACTTTATCAATGTCTTGTTTAATGCTTAACAAATTATTATGCAACTTCATTAACTACCTTATCGGACCTTATTTGGACGGACATTACTTGAACGCTGGAGGCCCTAGCGTTCATCTTAATGTCCGGTTAAATAAAGTCCGTTCAATTAATGTCCGTCCAAGTTAAAGTCCGTTGAAATTTTTTCAAAATTTTTTCCATTTCGAACTTTTTACCCAGAATATGACAACTATGAGAACTTTATTGTGCCAGAAAGACCAAGGAAAGGTTCTCCTTGGTCTGCCGGAGGCACAGAAAACTCTACTAGTATATGATGTTTTCAAGGGTCACTTGGCAGAAAAAGTCAACGAAATCATGGCACTCAACAACATAGTTCATGAGCTTATAGTCCCCGCCAACATGACAAACTTGTTCCAGCCTCTAGATATTACGGTAAATCGTGTTGCCAAGGATATTGTCCGACGTTTTTATAGTTCATATTACTGAGGGGAGGTAATGAAACAGTGCTAGGAAAGCTCCAAGTGATGTTAAGGTTAACCTAAAGTTGTCTAAGATAAAACCAATTCACGCCGAATGGCTTGTAAAAGTTAACACTGAAATGCAGGACCGGAATAGTTTGATAAAAAAGGTTTCCACAAAGCTAGAAATCACTGATGCTTGTTTAAGCATGGACTATTTCATGCACGAAAACCCATTTAATGAAGTCTAGGTAAACTATAGGTAAAAATATAATATTAATCATAAGCTAAAATGTACTAATCTTTGTATTCTAAATGGGGAAAAAGAAGAGACATTGTCAGTCAGTCGAGAAAATTGTCAGTCAGGCTATATGGCAGCTTTGTAGATGTTGTGACTATGCTAGTAGTGGTCCCAGGCTTGCGACTGGAATTGCGGTGTTAAATCGATTTAATGGTATACCAACGATCCACCTCCCACTTGTTGTTTGGTACTTAGCATTAATAGTGTTAGCTGTAGCCATTTATAGCAAGAATCTTAAAACTAAAGGGGATGACAAGGAAAAGAGGAAGGAAAAAGAAAAACGGGACATACAATTAATTAAAGTATTTATAGGAGCATTAGATATTGTAATTACAAGCTTCAATAATAAATCACTGACTAAAACTTCTAATTAAAATGACACTTGGTACGCTCGCCCATTTTCACTGGTCAGTCTGAACTTCGGTTTAGCACGTTGTACACTTATTCACCTAAGTTTCAGAATTTGTTCAGTTTAGCAGAGTTAGTACCCGTGTTTCAATAAATCAAAAGATATCAGGGGAGTTCTTTAATAATGTTACGGTCATCTAGAATACCGAACTTCCTGAAAACGTTATCATATTTCCTCAGACAACGTTTAATGCCTTTAATCAGTCTATCACGGCTATATCCTCTATCAATTAGAATTTTGAATATTTTGTGAAGATGGGAGGTAAAGATATCCAATCTAGTGCAAACATTACCATATCTAAGAACTTGACTTGAAAAAACGTTGTAGCCAACCTCGGTTGGGATGTTACTGTGAGGAAATGTAAGGGATACAACATGAAAATTAAAATCATCAGTTTTGTTATACACTGATATTTCTAGTCCTTCTGTGGAAATATTAATATTTAAATCAAGGTAGTTAATGATTTTATTATTGGAACCAGCTCGCTCCATCTCCAATGAATTAGGATAAATATCTTTAATCAATTTATGAAAGTAAAGGTAGTTAATAATAGATAAATCGTCAACATATCGTTTATTATTGGATAATATCTTTGCTAATCCCATTTTCTTTTCCTGAAGTAAACGTTTCATATAATTAAATTCCTTTTTGCCAACAGTGAGATCAGCTATAGGGGAACTTGAATTTCCACCCATAGGAATACCCTTGGTTTGTATGAATACAATCCCACCGAAGACGACATAAGTGTTATAAATAATAAATTTAACGGCCTCTTTTAGGTCATCTTGACTAAAGCAGGCATGAGAATCATAGGTTTTATTGGAAAAGAAACATGTATTACTGTCTCTTTTAGAAATACAAATATATCTATTACGGTCTGAAAATATTAAATCAACAACTTCATTAATCATATTCTCTACTTCAATCAAGTCTAATCTGGTATAAAGAGTAGTAAAATCATATACTTGTATATTATAAACATCGCTATTTTTGATAGCTTCAAGGAATTCACTTGAGGAATCTATGCTCCAAAACATGTTTATACCGCTGTTGTTGTAGATTGCCTCGTTTAGAATGCTGCTAGTACAAGAGAAACGATCCTTTCTCTAGAAACTAAAATAAGAAGTCTTCAACTCCCGGAAACAGAATACAAAATAGTTCTACAAATGTAAACAAAAGACCTGGCCAACGTAACGTGGCTCACTGCCGCTCCTGTTCCAAACTACCGTACCAGGAGCGCAGTGACCCGTGAATAAACATGAAACAAACCGCCGCAGGAGGGTGAAATCAGGGTAAGTGGCATGCAAACTAATTCTAAGGGACAGAGGGCGCCAAGGAATGTAAAGCGATCCAAAGCAGGGTACAACATCTCACCCCCTAAAGAACTGGAATAATTTAACTTTAAAAATATTATGACAAACAACTCTTAAGTTGAATCTTAAAGCAGGAGAACACAAAAAAAACTAATCATAATCCCAAGTATTCACCGTCCGAATAACCGAAATTTAAAAAACCTCATGCGATAATAAAGTCCCCAATAATAATTCGTGTCCCTGATATTTGGGTTAATTCTAACTCTCCCCAATAATAACATATCATAATAAAGTTCATATAACTCTGAACGCTCGATAAACAGTCCACGATCTGACTCTAGACTCTTGTAGTCTCGTAGGTGCCAGTCTCTTTGTCGTAGCCAGAGGTTGTAGTGTGTAGAATATGATGATCCTTCTTCCCTCCCAAACCTGAGTTTTTAGAAAAACTCATCCATCATGATGCAGTAGGTGCGCAGATTGCCTAATGAGGTAATGAGGTATCTGCTTGAATTCCCTGCATAATCACCGTAATCCACAGTGACTTACGTCATTCTGAGATATGTGTCCAAAGTACTTCCTGAGACGTGTATTAAGAAGTGCATCAACTTGCCCGGTTAAACCAATCAATGACATAGTTATAGCTGGGGCTTGTAGTTTAACGACTTACTTCCCCAGTGCAAGGTCGGCACATACTAACGCTCTATCCGTAGCTCTTCGTACCCCTAAATAGCTGTAGGAAGTTCGGTGCATTTCTGGCTCGGGTAGGATTTCTTCTGGGAGGTGCTCTTGTTGATTCCGAAGGGTCGACCTCCAGTGGAGCAACGATTTCAAACCCGCTGTCATCCATCTCTTCTGCATTGTCTTGCTCTGTAGGATCGTCCTGACAGTCAGCTGGTTGCGGGCTACATTGTTCAGTATCTTCTGTAGCCTGATGTGTGGTCGTGGTGCTGTCCCCCATGTGCTGGATTTCTGACTGGGCCGTCTCTGGTACTATCTCAACTTCCATACCTACCGTGTCTTTCTGTCTGTTCTCTGGAGCGTGAATCCTGTTTACCAGTCACTGAGGTGTTATTCACATCTTCGGTAGGTTCGAACTGGCTGGCATTAGCGTTGAGCTGTGACGGCGAGTACCTACTTTTTACGTATCTCTTTAACTTACTGATGTTTACTAGTTTATCCCTCGATCCGAGGTCAACTACATAGAGATGATCATCGATACGTTTGGTCACTTGGTATGGCCCCTGCCATCTCTTGGCGAACTTATGGCTAGGGCACTCTATGAGAGTGTAAACCCAATCCCCCTGTTGAAAGTATGGTCCGTGTAAGTTCTTGTTGTACGATGTGTCTGCATAGGAAAAGTCTAACGCAGCGTGACGTCTCGCCTTGAGACAGATTTCCCTGATGGTACGATATAACTGGTAAGCAGTAGTTCCTTTCTTCGCCGAACTGTCTAGTTGAACGGGATCCCCGTTTATTTCCAGATCAAGAGGCGTGTTCAGGTGCCGCCCAAAAAGCATAAAGTTTGCCGAAAATCCGGTATGTCTTGACTTCAAGGAGTTGAGTGCAAAGGTGACGTAGTTGAGATACAAATCCCAGTCGCGGATTTGTTTGTCTGTTAGCGTGACTCTCAAAGACTGGTTGATTCGTTTGTTTGAACGCTCTGCTTTAGCTGTACTGGAACACTTGTAAGGTACACCGTGAGTTACTCGAATCTTGAAATAGCGGCAAACTTCGTTGAAAATTTCTGCGGTAAAAGAAGTGTCATTGTCCGCTAAAATTTCTCGAGGATATCCGTATTTCAAGCACCATCCGTGCTGAATCAGTCGTATGGTTTCCTCGCTTCTACGTGTCTTGCATGGGAGGGCAACTAAATAGCCGGTAAAAACATCCGTTAAGGTGAGAATGTAGCGGTATCCCCTCTTGGTAACTCCCTCCTTCTCTGGGACGATGTGGTCTATTGAAATCGCGTCTCCGAACTCATATGTGATTACGTGTCGCAGTGGTGCCTTGAGATACGCTCTAGGTTGCTTACAGCTGCCGCATGTTACACACGATTTTACGTATAGGTCGATTTCCTCTCTGAGCTGAGGCCAGTAGTATCTCCGCAGTATCTGATTGTATGTCTCGTCCACTCCAGGATGCATGGTGATAAGAGAAGCGTGGTGCTGATCCAGCACCGTCTTTTTCAAATACTCTGGAATCAATACTAAGTAACGCTGTATCTCTATCTCTTTACTGCCTTTGTTGTGAAGTATCCACTTTTTGCAAAGCAGTCCTTCTCGAATTACAATCAGATGGAGCTGTTTCCAGTATGTCAGGAGATCACGTGGTAACCGCAGTCTTTGAAGCTTATCAGGCTTGCCCGTCTCCAACCATTTCTTGACTTCGACGAGAACAGGATCCCTGTTCTGCTCTTGTATTAGCCGATCCTTTTCTATGATTTCGCCAAGCTCCAATTGTTGTGTGATTGAA